TGGGTCAGGATGCCCACAGGGTCCTTGGGTGCGGATGGCTTGGAGTTGGTGTTAGAAGCTTCCCCCATCAGCTCCAGCTCTCTCTGCCTTGGACCCCACAATACAGGCATTGCTCCAGGTTCTTCTGCCAGCCCAGCCCTCTACTGGGAGGTTCTGCCCAGTCAGACACATCTAGTCTGTGCCCTTTGCAGCCTTCGTGGAGCTCCGTGCTCCCTTCTGCCCAGGCCCAAGGGCTCCTACTGGAGCCAGTGCACAGTCCCACAGCCAGAAGCTGGGCAGCCCTGGGCACCGAGGGCCTAGGCTCCACATCCTCGGCCAGGGCTCAGGCCACCAGCTGGGTCAGGTCCGAGAGAGTCGAAGCTGCCCACCAGGGGCCGCCAGAAGGCAGGCAGGAGAGGCCTAGGGGGGTGGGGGGGTCAGGTGCGAACCCGGGTCCCGGGGAGGGTGGGGAGCTGGACGGGGCCGGTGCACCAGCAACCCTCCCAGAGCTGAGGATCTAGGCCCTCTCTGGGAGACCCCACCGCAGCCCGAGGTGAGGATGCTGACCACCAGAGTCCACCCCTAGATCCTGACGCCCGGGCTGGCCGAGCCAGCTCCCTTCCCTGCGCGCCCTGATCTCGCCGCTCCCCTGGGGAAGCCGAGACCCTGACCACGGTCCAGGCCCAGCCGTCTCCCAGTCCCTCGGTCCCTCACAGTCACCTCGGCCCTCCTCCGCACTCGCCAGTCCCGCGCCCCAGCCAGCACCCCCATCCCGCCCTCGGCCACCCCGCGCCTCAGTCACCCCGGCCTCTCCGCAGTGCCTCCCCTGCGGCCCCGGGGGCAAGGGCCGCTGCTTCGGGCCCAGCATCTGCTGCGCCGACGAGCTGGGCTGCTTCGTGGGCACGGCCGAGGCTCTGCGCTGCCAGGAGGAGAACTTCCTGCCGTCGCCCTGCCAGTCGGGCCAGAAGCCGTGCGGGAGCGGGGGCCGCTGCGCCGCCATCGGCATCTGCTGCAACGCAGGTGCGGCCCGGGAGAGAGTGGAGGGGCGCGGGGTGCGGGGCGGGGAACCGGGGGCTGCACACCTCCGCTTCCAGCCCCGGCACCAGCACTCACGCCTTCCTCCCCGCAGAGAGCTGCGTGACCGAGCCCGAGTGCCGCGAGAGCTTTCCCCGCCGCGCCCGCGCCGGCGACCGCAGCAACGCCACGCGGCTGGACGCACCTGCAGGGGCCCTGCTGCTGCGGCTGGTGCAGTTGGCCGGGGCGCCCGAGCCCGTCCAGCCCGCCCAGCCCGCCCAGCCCGGCGGCTACTGATCGCGTCCCGCCCAGCCATCTGCACCTGCCACCCTGAAAATAAACCTCTGAGAACATACCCAGGCGTCCTGTCCGTCTCTGGTGGTGGGGAGGGGGAGCAGTGCGGACCTCCGCCCCGACCAGTCCCAGCACCTGAGGCACGGACAGATCCGTCCCAGACACGGGACAGGTGCTGTGGGCGGGACCGGAGGAGGGAAGGGCCGGAGGGCTGGATTTGGGGGGGCGGGGGGGGAGGCGCCCGGGGCAGAGGGCTGGAGGGAGGGCAAAGACGCAGATGGAAAAGAGAGACTGAATGGACTGTCTGTGCTCCTGTTCGTCCCAGGAGACTGGGGCACAGACATCCTTGGGGACCCGGCCAGGCGAGGGTGCACGGGAGGGACCGGGAGTGGGCTGGGGACGGGTGTCGGCCAGGCCAAGCAGATGGAGAGAGCTCCACCTTCTGTCGGCTCAGGAGAGGAGCCGGGTATAAGCCCCAGCTACTATCACACACACCTGCACACACAGAAACACACATACACACATGCACACACACTCGTGCTCACCCATGCATGCACACACGCATATATACACCACACATATACACACACGCACACACACATGCGTATATACACACTCACACAAATACACCCACACATATACACACACGCACACACATGCACTCACACACCACACATATGCATACATGCACTGGATCCACACACCTGCCCCTGCCCACACACACTCTCAGAATCGCTCAGAAGAGAACTGCAGGGGAGGGGTGGCCTTTGCCACCGCACAGCTGGAGCCCTAAATCTCATTCACCATGCACACCCTGGGGGGGGGCAGCAGGAGGCTCCGCTAAGTGCGTGCCTAGCACCTGTGGCGGGGAGCCTGACCCACTTCTGGGCTCCTGGCTTCAGCCTGGCCCAGCCCTGGCTACTGCCGGCACTTGGGGAGTGAAGCAGTGGCGTGAAGCGCTCTCTCAACCGTTCTGTAGCTCTCCTAACGTCGCTGCCTAAGGAAGGAAGGAAGGAAGGAAGGAAGGAAGGAAGGAAGGAAGGAAGGAAGGAAGGAAGGAAGGAAGGAAGGAAGGAAGGAAGGAAGGAAGGAAGGAAGGAAGGAAGGAAGGAAGGAAGGGAGGAAGGAAGGAAGGAAGGGAGGGAGGAAGGAAGAGAGGGAGGAAGGAAGAGAGGGAGGGAGGGAGGGAGAGAAAGCAAGGTTAAGAGAAGGGAAGAAAGAAGGAGAGAACTTGAAGAAACCCGCAGTGCAACATGGCAAGTGTGTGTGTGTGTGGACACTCACAGCCCCTCCTGCCCTTGATCCCTGTGGCTCCCCGGCCAAGGCACCGCCAGCCCTCGGCCTCTGCCCTCCCAGCCCTGGGTACCCCCTGCAACCCCTTGGTCCCTGCTGGCGTCTCCATCCCCCCCCCCCCCCCCCCCCCCCCGCATTACCTCCCATTCTCCCTCGCCTTGCTCCCTCTGTTCGCCGCACCCGTAAACTTCCTGGCTCCGGTCCTGGTGCCAGGGGAGGCTGCGTCCTGTCCGGGATCCTGGGCAGCTGTGAGGCCGGAAGGGAGCGCAGGCAGAGCCGAGAGGCGCTGAGCGCTGGCCATGGCATCCTGGCACAGTGGCGCTCAGCCTCGGGACTCCAGCCGTTCAGGACCAGCAGCCCCGGGAGGGCGGAGGGCCGGTGCCACGCCGGCTCCGGGTCACTGTCCCATGGCTTGGCATCTCCTGCCCTCACCCCTGACCTGGCTCCCGCAGGCTCTGCGTGGCCGTGCCCAGTGTGACAATGTAGCCAGGGGCGGATAGAGGCAGTGCTAGGGCCCCATGGGGCTTGCCCCCAGGTTGCAGGGGAGTGGCGCTCCCCTGCCGGGTGCTGGCCGGGAGCCTGGGGCCGCTTCAGGACCAGATCCGCCCCACGCCTGCACGCGAGCTTCCTCCTCGCCTGTAACGTCTCCCAGCTCCAGCCACACTCTCCTGCTCTTCAGCCCAGTCCTCTAGTCCCCTGTCGCAGCTGCTGAGTTAGGGAGGGACAAGAGCCCCAAAGTCACAGAGAGCTCCTGCTCCCCCGCCCACCCCGCCAGCAAAAGTGTTAGGGTTAGGCAGAGGCCGCGCCTAGGCGCCTGCGTTTTCTGGAGTCCCAACCATCTCCTTAGTGCTCCCTTGCCAGCACCGCCCAGGGTTTATGTTGGTTAGCAGCAGCCAGAATTAGCAGCCGAGTCAGGACTTGAACCCTCATACTCTGTTATGGGAGTTGAGGGTCCCCACTGGTGTTTTGATTGCTAGGCAAACATCTGCCTCTGCGGTTTTTTTTTTCTTTTTTCTTTTTTTTTTACATTGAAATAAAATATTTATTGTGGGAAAATTTTGGTTTTTTAAAATAAATTTTTATTTTGAATTTTGAATCATGTGGTACAATTTTGTGTAGGCTGGGATTCCTCCCCCAAACTCCCACCCCCATCAGATTTTTCCCATTTTGTTACAATGGTGTAGTCCTTCATAAGGAATCATCATTCTATCAGTCTTTTATTTAAGTGTACCCCGACATTGTTGGTGCAGACAATGTCAGACAGTCCAGCATCGCATTGTCTACACATGTCCAACAGTTTCATTGGGAATCCATCTTCCGTCTGGATGCAGGGATGCATGTTCCATTATACCCTGACGTCTGTATAGGATAGACCCCAGTACTCCATCACTATACATTACCATAAGTGAGAAGCCATGAAACAAGGTCAACAACTGGTATGAATTAGAACAGCCACATCAACAACAACATCAACAAACAAATTACAGTACCATGAGAGGAAAAAAAACAACAACGCACCACTGAGTAACCAACACATGGGTGACACAAAGGAAACACAGAAGTCTCTTGGGAAAAATGATGCCAACGTGTAATTCATGAGCCCGTGATGAATTCGACTAGAGAAAAGAGATTATTTGGAATGAACCAAACCGAAATTAAAAACATCAAAACACATGGGATACAGCCAAAAAAGCAAGCAAACAATTAAAAAAAAAAAAAAAACCCAGTATGGATTGGACTATTGGAGTTACACTTTCCATGTTGGTTTTCTTATATAAGAGAGAATATATGGCATTTGCTCTTTCGTGATTGACTCATTTCACTGAGCATAATGGTCTTTAGTTGGGACCACCTGGTTGTAAACAGGCCACAAACAGGAAACTGGATGGGAAGCGGAGCAGCTGGGACATGCGGGGTGCCAGGGCTTACAGACACAGAATTAGGCTGCTATACCATCACACAGCACCTCTTCCCCTTCTTCTTAAATTAACTTTAGTCCTATCGCTTCTTGTCCTTTTGGCTAAGATCAAGTGTGAAATTAATTTCAGTGCTAACAATCTGGCTTTTTCTTTGTGTATTTTGAGTTTTCTCTGCTAATTTTTTGCAGCACTTCTTGACGTCAGTATTTAGCTGATTAGAAAAAAATGTGCGTGTGTGTGTGTGTGTGTGTGTGTGTGTAGGTTAAGCTGCCTCTTGGAACGCTGGCATCCCCTGGCACTGTTACAGCCCTCAGTGCATCTAACCCAACTTGTGCCTAACGCATCCTGAGAGGCAGCAAGTGATCGGCCCAGTGCTTGTATCCTCATACCTCTCACCGAGACCCAGCTGGAGATCCTGGCTCCTGGTGCCAGTCTGGCCTAATGACAACCACGGTGGGCACCTGAGAAGCGAACCGTATCTCGCTAAGGTAACTAACTACCTTTTTTTTTTTTTTTTTTTTGAGCAACAAAGTCTTTATTGGACTCAGACCAGGAGGCCGTGGGTCTTGAGGACCTCTGTGAACTTGTTGATCTTCTTCTCCACGTTCTTTTCGGCCTGTTTCCGTAGCCTCATGAGCTGCTTCTTCTTGCGGTAATGCATCTTGGCCTTCTCCTTCCTCTTCTCCTCCAGCGTGGCCGTCACCGCTTGGTACTTCCAGCCAACCTCGTGAGCCAGGCGTCCCAGGTAGGCAAACTTCCTCGTGGGCTTCAGGCGCACGACCTTGAGGGCTGCAGGCACCACCATCTGCTTTTTCTTGTCGTAGGGGGGCGGGATGCCATCAAACACCTTGAGGCGCTCCAGGGCGGCCTGACCACGCTTGGTCTTGTGGGGGAGCATGCCTCGCACGGTCCGCCAGAAGATGCGGCTGGGGGCCCGGAAGTGGTAGGGTCCCCGGGAGGGGTTGGTGTTCATTCGCTTGCGCAGGAAGGCCAGGTACTTCAGCTTATTTCTGTAGAAATTGCCAGAGATGTTGATGCCCTCGCAACGTACGACAACCACCTTGCGGCCCAGCAGCACCTGCTTGGCCACGATGGCCGCCAGGCGGCCCAGGAGGTGGCCGCGGCCATCCAGCACCAGGACCTGCCCCTCCGCCATCTTCGGCAGCCGCCGGGAAAAAAAAAACTAACTACCTTTTAAAAACAAAACAAAAAAGCTAAAAGGAAACACACACACCTTTCTTGCTCTCTGTTCCTGGTCTAAAGCCCCATGTTTCCCCTCTGGATCCTGCCTTGGAGAACCCACCCCTGATTCCACTTGCCTGTTGCTGCGTAGTCTCGCTGGGGTTGCCCTGCTAACCCAAGGGCTGTCTGTAACTGCTGCTTAGAATGCAGCCACACGGGGAAGCTCCTTGGTCATTGTGGCATCTGTAATCGTATGCGCTGAAGTCAGGGAACATGACCTGTGTAATTGCCAATCCTTTGACCTGCACCATTAGGGGCAGGAGCCGGGCTGCCTCCCCTCCTCGGCTCCTACAGTGAGCAAGGTCACCGTGCTGGCCCATTGAGACCTCCACGCGCCCCTCACAGCCATGACGTGTCTTGAAGTGCACCCCAGCCAAGCAGTGTGCCCTCATCAAAAAGCTGAACTTCTAACAAATGTAGCTTACAGGTCTAAATGGCCCACATGCTTGCTGACAAGTGGAACAGTCTTGCCAGGCCTGACCAATACCCAGGCCTGACCCACATGCGCAGCAGTGGGAGTTCCCCCAGTTCCCTGTATCAGGTCCACTCCCAGACCCAGGGCTCACGTGTGCCAGTGGGTGCTAGGTCCTTATCTGACATAGGCTGTCCCCTCTGTCTCAGCTTTTGTGTGTGCCAGAGGATGTTGTGGCTTGACCCACCCCACACCCTATTCCTCAGTGTGCTTATGGGTGCTTCCGCCTGGTCCAGCCTGGCCTGTTCCCAACCCTAGTACCCACAAGTGTCAGAGGGTTCCATGGTCAAGTCTAGCTCAGCCCATCATCCACCCCAGCTCTTCAGCAAACCAGTGGATATTGCAGTTTCACAGAGGCAAACCCATACATCCCCCACAGAATCTGACCCTAGATGTGGTTCTCTTGCTTGTTGGTTAGTGTCATGGCTCAGTTGGTGGATACTATGATCTAGCCCTGCCAGGTAGGCCCCCAGCACGTGCCAGTGGGTGCTGGTTACTGCTGGGTGGCTGATGCTAACTAGCTCAGGTCTCCCACATGGGCAGGTGCATCTGTCTGACCCAGAAAGGTCCTCCAGTTTCTCTCCTCCAAACCACTCGGCCTCAGCCCCCTTGCTTACCTGCGGGTACACTGGGCTCGTCGGCAGAAGTCTCCCGGGAGTCATTCACCTGCAACATACTCCCTCAGTTGCACTCCCTCCCACATATTCCACACTCCCTTCCCCGATAAATTCACAGCCCCCATGTCCCTGAGCACATGGGTTCCTCAGGTGGTCTTCTGGAGGGGTGGTGTGCTGGCCTTGAGCCCTGCCCGCTCACCAGGGATCCCAGAGCCAGTTTTCGGGCACACATGGCAGCCTGGGATGCTACCCCTCTGCCCAGCTGGGACTCAAGCATGCTAACGAGTCCAAAAGCCCAATTAGTTCACCAGCACGCCATGCCAGCATACCAGCCTGGGGCCCTAACACCCTGCTCTCGGTCCGCCCACCTGGGACCCAAATAGGTGCCAAAGTTCCTCCTCTCCATCAGTCCCCAACTTAGATCCCCAGGTCCCCTAAGCCCATCTAGGCACTGCTGTGGTGGAAGCAAGGTTTTTTGTTTTTGTTTTTGTTTTTAAGATTTATTTATTTTTATTGGAAAGAAATTTACAGAGAGGAGTGATAAAGATCTTTCATCCGCTGGTTCACTCTCCAATTGGCCATAATGGCTGGAGCTAAGCAGATCCAAAGCCAGGAGCCAGAAGTTTCTTTTGGGTCTCCTACGCAGGTCCAGGGTCCCAGGCAGCAAGCTGGATGGGAAGCAGGGCTGCTGGGACATGAACCCAGTCCATGTGGGTTCCTGGTGCTGGCAGGGGGAGAGTTTAACCATTGATTGATTCCTTGTGCCAGGTCCCCAACTGGCACTTTAAAAATGACTAATGTACTTGAAAGTCAGAATGAGAGAGAGAGATAAAGAGAGAAAGAGATCTCCCAGGAGCAGGGCTGACTGGGGGCCAGTTCCTGCCTGGTGGCCTCCTGGGGGTCCGAGTCCAGCTCCTTGGAGACTTTCAGCACCTGTGTCCACAAGCCCCTTCCTCCCAGGCCAGCTCAGCCCCGGACTCCTTCCTGGGGTCCATAGTCATTGAATGCTCCCTAATTCATTCCCTTTGTGGGGATGGGGACCTGGCTTGACAATTCGACAATTCGGACGAAGTTTCTTCTTCTCCTTCCCTACCTTACCGTCGCTCCCAACCGCAAGTTTAATGACACCCAGGCCCACCCTGCCCCTTCCCCAATACAAAGACACAACTCGAATTGAAGGAAGAAGATCTGATTTATTTTATTTTATTGATTGTTGCTGTGGGTGCTAACAGGGGAGCAAGGAGCCCCTCAGCAGTGTCTGGGCCGTCAGGGCTCAGCGCTCGGGGAAGGCGGCCTCGAGACCACAGGTGGGGTCGACGCGGCAGCCATCTGCAAGGAGACGCGCGGTCAGGGGCGACCCGGCCGCAGCCCGCTCGGGCCCACCCGTCCCGCGCCCGCGCCCCGCGTCCAGCTCACCTGCGTTGCAGCAGACGCCGGCGGCCCCGCAGCGGCCCCCGCTCCCGCACGGCTTCTGGCCCGACTGGCAGGGCGACGGCAGGAAGTTCTCCTCCTGGCAGCGCAGAGCCTCGGCCGTGCCCACGAAGCAGCCCAGCTCGTCGGCGCAGCAGATGCCGGGCCCGAAGCAGCGGCCCTTGCCCCCGGGGCCGCAGGGGAGGCACTGCGGAGAGGCCGGGGTGACTGAGGCGCGGGGTGGCCGAGGGCGGGATGGGGGTGCTGGCTGGGGCGCGGGACTGGCGAGTGCGGAGGAGGGCCGAGGTGACTGTGAGGGACCGAGGGACTGGGAGACGGCTGGGCCTGGACCGTGGTCAGGGTCTCGGCTTCCCCAGGGGAGCGGCGAGATCAGGGCGCGCAGGGAAGGGAGCTGCAGGTGCCTGTAGTCCCCACCTACCTAGCACAGCGGGGCTGGGCCCTGAGCGCTCACCTTGCGCACGTCGCGGTCCAGCGCAGCTCTCTTGCCGCCCAGGGGACAGTTCTGGATGTAGCAGGCCGAAGTCAGCGCCAGGAGGCCGAGCAGGCAGCAGGCGAGGCTGGGGCCGGCCATGGTGCGTGCAGGAGCGTCGGGGCCTTGGCAGCGGCTGGTGGCTATCTCTCGGACCTGGCCTTTATACCCCGAGGCGCTGGGTTGGCCGAGTCCTTCAAAGAAGGCACTTGGATGAGTGGTCACAGCCCGGGGCGCGGCCGGTCAGGCTGTGTGTGCCCGCCGCATGCCCTCTCATTTGCTGGGTATGGGCCTGGGTCAGGATCCGCGTTGGGATAATGGGCTGGGGCACTGATGGTGAGTGTTGCAGGGCCAAGGAGCAGGCAGCGGTGGCCTGAGGCGCTCAGGCTGGGATTGGGGTGGGAGCTGCCACTCGCGGAGTTTATCTGCCCTACCAGTACAGGAAAGAGGGAGGCGGGTGGGGCTGGTGGACCCTCAGTTCTGGGCCAGCATGGAACACGCCTCTGTGGTTCCTAGGTGGGGAATTTCCTGAGCCCACCTTCCCATCCCACTCCCCTGCACCTGCAGTGGGGGAGGGGGAAGGATGCCTATGTCTTTCTCTAACCCTCCCCGGGAAAACTTTCTCTCCCCTTCCACTGGGAGGGGGTAGGCCACGTCTACCTGTTACCCCACCTTTGCAAAGGCTTCTGCAGAACGGAGGTCTCATTGTCATTGGGGAGTGATTGGTGATGTCAATTAAAGCGACATCTCCACAATGCCACCTGGAAATAAATGTATGTTTGGTACCTCATGTCTTTGTTTTGCTGTGGGAGACTGGCACAGTGGCATAGCTTGCTAGTCCTCTGTCTGCACTGCCAGTATGCCCATATGGGCACTGATTAGAGTGCCAGCTGCTGTACCTCTGATCCTGCTCCCTGCTTATGACGGGGGAAAGCAGCAGAGGCTGGCTCAAGGCCTAGGCTGTCGAGTGGACTGCACCTGCGTGGGAGACCTGGAAGAAGCTCCAGGTTTCAAATCAGCTCAGCTCTGGCTGTTGCAGCTATTTGCTCAGTCAACCAGAGGATGGAAGCTCTCTCTTTTGTATCTCTCTCTGTCTCTCCTTTCTGTAACTCTTTCAAGTAAAAAAAAGGGAGGGGAGCTGAACAGCAGCCTAACAGCTAAAGTGCTTCCCTTGAATGCGCCAGAATCCCATATGGGCACCGGTTCTAATCCCAGCAGCCCTGCTTCCCATCCAGCTCCCTGCTAGAGGTCTGGGAAAGCAGTGGAGGACGGCCCAAAGCCTTGGGACCCTGCGCCCGCATGGGAGACCCGGAAGAAGCTTCTGGCTTCAGATTAGCTCAGCTGTGGCCGTTGTGGTCACTTGGGGAGTGAATCATCGGATGGAAGATCTTCCTCTCTGTCTCTCCTCCTCTTTGTATATCTGACTTTCCAGTAAAAAATAAGTAAATCTTTAAAAAAAATTTTTTTAGAGGGAGATGCTCACATTTTACCATGACTCAAAGTGAAAACAAATGAAAACTACTGCTTCAGCGGAAGAGGCATGGTCTGCGGGTCCCGTGAGGAATGAGTCCACATGGACGGCTCAGGTGCCCCTCGGCCAGCATGTGGTACAGTGGGCTAACCTGCAGCCTGTCATACTCAGTAGCCCATATTAATCTACAGTTCTGGCTGCTCTATTTTCAATCCAGTGCCCTGCTAATGCACTTGGGGAAGCAGTGGACAGTGTTCCAGTACTCAGACCCTTGTCACCCAAATAGGAGATCCAGATGGCACAGTAGGCTGCTGGCTTTGGCTGTTGTGCCCCTTGGTGAGTGGACCGGTAGGTGGACAATTCCCTCTCTCTGTCTCATTCTATCTCTCAAATAAATAAATTGTTAAAAAAATAAAACAAGGCACCTCCCACCCGGGTCTGTGCTGTGCCAGGCGGGGAGGCATAGCCCTCCCAGGGCTGTGTCCTGTGACTGGTCCATCTACTCTGGCCCAAGCATAGAACATTCCTGAAGGAGTAACCTCCAGAGCTCAGCTGAGGTCTGGGACCCTGCTGCTCCTGCCCCTTCCTTCCACAGATGGGGGACCCAGAGTTCTGTCCCCATCAGGTCTGACGCACACCTGGCCAGCTGCCACTCGGGGGAACTATACCTGTAGCAGCAGGAGTGGGAGCCAGTGACAGACAGACTGGACACAGAAGAGCCAGTTCCAGCCTCTCCCGCCTCCTCTGCTCTGGGAGAGAAGCACGGGCCAGCCCTGACCCTGCTCTTGACCCTGCTCGGGGAACACTGGGCCCACTGGGCCAAGGTCAAAGAACCTTGTGCATCACCAGTGTGAGCTGGCCAGCACGGAGGAGTTGGTCAGGCTGACCTGGGTTATGAATCAGCAACCAGTCACTTCTCACTCATTAAGCTCATTGCCTTCCCTGGACTAAACAGCCAAGTACTTGACCCTGGCAAGGCTCCCCACGGAGAAGCCTCCCTACCGCCCCCGTGTGGCTGGAGGAGGGGAGGGGTGAGCCACGGAGCATTTGGGTGCCGAGTGGGAGGGTCTGTTGGCCGCCCTGGTGGGGTGGGGATGGCAGCTCCGGGAGGGTGACCTCTGACACACACAGGAGTTGGACGCAGGAGCCAAGTGAACATCCAAAGAGACATTTCCTTGGCTTTTTGCTTTGTTCTGTTTTTAAGATTTTGTGGCAGGGGAATAAGGGAGGGTTCCTTTGCAGGACAGCTACTTCCGCAGGAGAGCATGGGCTGGGATGGGGGCAGACCAGACTAGGCAGACTACCACACGCGTGCGCCTCATCGACCAATCAGGGAAAAGCCGACTCGCGGATTATTCCTACTGTGCAAGCAAAATTACATGGCAAGGGTGTTTGGGCTTAGACGCAGCATCACTGGAATCTGGAGTGGAGAGCCTGGAGGAAATATGGCTCATCCCCTCTTGGTTACCACTTTCCAGGACAAAAAACTAAGATAACTAAGATAGCGGCTGGTGAAGGGGTGTGGGACAGACTTGGATTACTGCTACACTTAAAGGCAAACCCAGGTAGGGAGTTGGCCTTGGGTTGATTGTGTCGCGTCCAACCTAGGCGGCAGCTCACCCTGGTTTATTGATGACCAATATTCTCAGAACCACTGGACTGCAACACCCATGTTCCATGGAAGTCGGAGTGAAAACAAACCAACCCAGCTACTAGCAACCCACCACTGATTGAGCGATATCGTGCCAGCCATGTACTTGTTAGCACATACAAAAATTTCTTTGGAATCTTCCCTTCCTAAACTAAATGTGGACTCAGAACCCTAACGAAAGAAAAGAAAGACAGAACAGTCAACCAACCCTCTCAGCTATGAGACTATGTCAATCATTTGATTTTCAAGATCTCATATGCTTTGGATGGAAATTGACACGATTCATGACTGGCAATATCAAAACCACTGACAAAACCTCAGAGCATGCCCTACATCTGGACCTGGGAGGGTGAAATTGGTGGGGCCTTCTCCCCTTAAATAACCCCCTTTAAAACATGAAGAACAATATGAAAACATACTATAAATCCACTTTCCATACCCTTGAACCTTCTTACCCTAATTAACTATGTTAAAAATGTCAAAATAATCATAAAAAAAAAAGAAAATAAAAATAAAGATCAGGAAATGAAAAAAAAAATTCATTTTCAAAGGGCAAAACACTTAATTTAAATACAAGTCTGAATCGCTCTGTCAAAGCCAGTGAGATGCCAGAACGCCCTGACCAAGTGTTCCAGATCCTCCCGTGATAAGAAAAGGCACCTGCTAATTCCATTCATAAAATCCTTTTCTTGGGGGGTGGGGGGTTCAGCGTGATAGTGCAGTGGTTAAAGTCCTCACCTTTTTTTTGGACCCTGCACCCGCGTGGGAGACCCGGAAGAGCTCCTGGCTCCTGGCCTTGGATTGGCTCAGCTCCAGCCATTGTGGTCACTTGCGGAGTAAACCATCGGACAGAAGATCTTCCTCTCTGTCTCTCCTCCTCTCTGTATATTTGTCTTTCCAATAATAAATAAATAAATCTTAAAAAAAAAATCCCTTTTTTCTGTGCGAGCACCTTCCTACAGTCTTCTTTAACTTTAAAAAATTATTATCATTTTTATGATACAGACCAAAAACATCCCCCTTATTTGCAGTGTAGTCTACAATTTCTTGTGGACACATGAATCGTTCCACGTCTGTATCAGGAATCTCAAACCCAAATTCACCTTCCGCAGTCATGATAATCTCCACTTTCCAAACGCTCTAAGCCCAGGTCTTATATAAAATGGAAATTTACCGAGAACTTTTCTGGGTTGATCTTGTCTTAGGTCAAGAACACAGCCCCGGATGTCCTCCAGGGTCAAAGGGGACACACGTTGCTCTATTGGCGACAAGCTGAGTGAGGCTCCTGGGAGCACTGTGGCCAGCGGCAGGGCCAGGAACCTCACCATATCTCTGCGGATCACAGCACAGAGACGAGAGGCTGGGCCGAGGCCAGCATGGGGACACAGGACAGCAGGGTGAAGGCCACAGCGGGGCAGCAGCCACAAGAGGAAAGGACACGAGTTGCCAGGGCTATGCCAACCCAGGATGCTTTTCTTTTAAAATTATTTTTAAAAACTTTTTAAATTTTAATTTTTGATGATGTTTACATAGTTGATCAGGGTGGGAAGGATCTAGGGTTAGGGAAAAGTGAGTGTGAACGTTGTTTCCAAATTTTCAATTTCTTCTCCCTAAGGGGAGAAGCCACACCCAGCCTCCCAACTGTCCCAGTATCTAGTGATGGGGAGTGGCCACCTAGTATCAACCCAGGGTCCCCAATACAGCTACAGCGCATGCTCTGAGGGTTCTGCCCAAGTGGTTTGAAATGCTGTCTATCTCGCTGATCCAAGGGTGAGGGCTGCGCCAGCTGTCCACTGCTCTGTCTTTTCCATGAGCAGGCCAAGCTGTGACACATGAACTCCACTGTCAGATCACCAGTCCTGGATGTGAGACTCCAGGCCCCGCATGCCCCCCACCTGTGCCATCGCCCGGACCCCTGCAAGCCCACACAACAAATCTCCACAAGTGTGCCCCTGGGTGGCCAGTGAGCTTCCCCCAGTGCCACTGGCGCCCCAGGCCACCTGACCAGGGCCTCACAGGACCTCTGTCCTTGGGACTGATGGACTAGGCACCCACTGTGCAGGTGGACCCAGGGACCTGGACCATACAATCAGACCCGCCAGACCCCACCCAGCCCCAGGGCTCATGGGTCTGACATCTACCGTGCAGGTGGGCACAAGGACCCCACCAGACCCCAGTCCCCGGGGTTCATGGGCAAGGCACCCACGGTGCCAGTGGGCCCAGGGAGCCAGGCCAGGCAACACAGGCCCTACAAAGTCCCCAGGGCTTAAGGACCTGGCATCCACTGCACTGGTAGGGCCAAGGATCCAGGCCTCATTGGAACCCCCACCCCTAGGGCTAACGGACCTGGCACCTACCTTCCAGACTAACACAGCTCGCTTTACCTTGGCATTCCTAATGTGAACTGGCTGGTGTTGCGGCCCAACCTGGCCCATGACGCACTGCCATTTTAAAAAAGGAAAGGCAGATTTTACAGAAAGGGAGCGGGAGAGCTAGAAGGCGCTGATATGAAGCCAGGAGCCAGAAGGCTCTTCTGGTCACCCACACAGGTGCAGTGTCTCAAGGACTTGGGCCATCCTCTGCTACTTGTCCAGGTTACAAGCAGGGAGCTGGATGGGAAGTGGAGTAGCCAGGACACGAACTGGCATCCCCATGTGGGATGCCAGTGCCACAGGCTGAGGATTAGCCTGTTGAGCAATCATATCAGCCCCTATTTTACATTGTTTATTTGAGAGGGAAGAGGAGAAAGGTGGTACGGGAAGAGACCTCGTCTCCTGCTTAAGTCCTCAAATGCTTGCGATATCTAAGACTGGCACCCATGTACGAGGTACCCACAGCAGTCCCATCTCAAAGCTGGATGGGCTGCCAGGGGCTGACGAGGGAGCAGGGGATTGGAAGTTGTCTGACCTCCTGGGTGGAAAAGCTACGGCCATGATGCTGGGAAATGGCCTTGTTCTAAGATGAAGCGTTTACCAAGTAGTCAACTTCCACTCAACCTGGAGATATGACAGCTGAAAGAAGCGGCCGCTTAGGGGGCAGTGTGCTTTCAGGGGAGACAGCCCGAGAGATTCAGAGCTAAGCTCTGCCTCCCTCTTAAAACAGTGTTGTCAAATTCACCAACACAAATCCATTTTTGAGGGCACGTTACTATCTTGCTGATATTGCCCCCTGCTGGAGAACAGGGGGAGCTGCAGCGGACATTGGCCCTCAGAGCATTGTGTTTGGCAGGGATGGGCCGGGCCAAAGACCACAGCCAGAACTCCATCTGGGTCTCCTCCATGGGGCCGGGGCCCAAGCACATGGGATACCCTCCACTTTCCCAGGCACATGAGAAGGCAGCTGGATCAGAAGCAGAGGTGGAGGCGGGACTTAATCCCAGGCACTCTGATATGCAATGTGGACGACCCAACTCATAATGAACAATCTGGCAGGAAATTGTTTGATGTGTGTGAAGTCATTCTCTAGTTTTACTTAAAATTTTTAAAAATTTATTTTTATTGTAAAAATCATATATTCAGAGAGGAGGAGAGACAGAGAGAAATATCTTCTGTCTGATGAATCACTTTCCAAGTGACCACAACAATTGGAGCTGAGCTGATCTGAAACCAGGAGCCAGGAGCTTGTTCTGGGTCTTCCACATGGGTTTCAGGGTCCCAAGGTTTTGGGCCATCCTCAACTGCTTTCCCAGGCCACAAGCAGGGAGCTGGATGGGAAGCGGAGCTGCCGGGATTAGAACCGGCGCCCATATGGGATTCTGACATGTTCAAAGTGAGGACTTTAGTCACTAGGCCATCGCTCCAGGCCCTCACTTAAAGTTTTATTTATTTGCATTTTATTTGAAAGGCAAAGAAACAGAGAAAGGATCTTATATGCTGTGGTACACTCCCCAAACGTCAACAGCCAGGGCTGAGCCAGGTCAAGGCCAGGAGCCGGAACTCCATCCACACCTCCCACATGGGCAGTAGAGCGCCAGGTCCTGGAGCCGTCACCTGCCGTATCCCATATCCCAGGGAGCGCATTAGCAGCAGATGGAGCTGAAGTGGAGTAGTTGGACCTTGAACCCAGGCACTCTGATGTGGGGTGCTTCTAACCCAAGGAGCAGCCTAGCAGCAGTGGCAGACGCTACAACATCCCCCCCGGGCTCTGGCTGTGACCACCGGCTGTGCCACGGTGAGGAGTCCAACACAGCTGGACTCCAGGCTTGTGCCCCAGCCTGTGTTGAGGAAACGCTCCCTGAAGTGCCCAGCAGGGGGCTCCTCCTACAGCTGGAGGAGAAAGGTTCCCCAGTCAGACTTCTTGTGTCAGCACTTGAAGAGATTTCAGCTCTGTGCTTGGGAGAGTTTGAACAATAACCACAGGGTAGATTTGGGGGGGAACCTGCCTCATGGTTTCAGAGAAGACAGGACATGCACGTTCCATGCAGGTTCCTGGAGGAAATATAGGGGCATTCCTTCAGGCTGCACCAGATGGCATGGTCTCTTTGATGCCCACTAACCCAGTCCCTGCATTCCTCTTCTCCCACCCATGTGAGCCATTTCCAGCTGTCTGCCCACAACTGGCAGCAGGGCGGTGGCTACACCAGCCCAGGTGAGACTCTCCTGCGGACTAGAGACCCATCCATCCTAGCTGCGGCAGGCTGCCTATCCCACTCTGGAAAGCTAACAGGACAGAGCAATCCCATGGAGACTGCCCACGCAGGGAAGTTCCTGGGGTCAGTGAACCTCCCTCCCCTACGTGAGCCCCGACCTCCCCCACCCCACCCCACTGTGCCTCCTCCTAGTTTGGCGAAAGCATTTTGTGTCAAAGGTAGCCCTGGGGCCCAGAATGGGGGAGGATGCTTCGGGCCATCCAAGCTGTGGTCAGCAGGACTGCTGTGCCCATGCTGTCCGTAGCAGCTCCTGGCTCCTCAAGAGGCCTGGAGTATCTGAGCGAGACCAGGTCCAGCAGCTTGGCTTCCCAGGGACACCAGCTGCTGGCCCACTTGGTCGCACACGCTCTAGCATCTCTGAGAGGCAGGTGCAGATGCGGCTGGGTTTGAGCAGACCCTAAAGGTACCAGCAAGCTGCCGACTCAGGCTCGTTCCAGCCAGACGGCTGCAGTGGGCAGCAGAGGGGCTGAAGTGTGGTATCAGCACGACCAGCTGCCATCAGCAGGTGGCAAGTACTAAGGGGAGACAGCCCCATGTGGCACACTGGACAGCCCAGAGGGGATGTCACCTCCAAAGCCTGGGATGTGACTCCCAAAACCCGGAGTCAAACAAAGATGTAGAAGGGGGGGTGGAGGAAGGAACACATGACAAAGACTGGCCTTTCTGCCCCGGGCTGTCCCCAAGGGTCAGCTTGCTGTGGGCTTCTACCATAAGGGACCATGGGGCCCATTGCACCCACAAGGCCAGCTCCTTTCGAGGGTGAGCTGAGGCTATGGACACTGCCTGACCATGACCCACACCACAGGGTGTCCTCACCAACTCTTCCCCTGAAACTCAGGCTGAACATTGGGGAGCAGGTCCTCCACTGGGCCCTGCCCTGGGAGGCTGTGGCTGTCGGGAGTGCCTGCCTGGGGCAGGAGCAGGTGCTAGGCCCCTGATGTTACTAAGCATCCGACAGGGCTGCAGTTCCACCTGCTCCTGCATCTTCGTCAGCGTCAGCCACAAGTGCTCCCACAGTCCACAGGGTCCAGATGTGGCAATTGGTCTGAAGGAGTTAGCACCCCCAGGGGAGTCGGGGGACACTGGAGAGAGCCACAGGAAAACACAGGGTCTCCACCTTCCAGGTGGTGGACACATGAGACCCTGGCCCTTGGTTGCCGGCTAGTATGTCGCTGAGGGGTTGGCACACCCATCTATAAAACCACCAAGCAGTTTACTCTGCAAGTCACTCGACCCCTGTTGTAATGAGTCATCCTTGCTTTTGCCATGGGAAAGCAGTCATTGAACAGGTATGGCTGTATTCCAATAAAACTTTATTTACAAAAAGTGAATGGACAGCAGACCACATGTGGCTACGGCTTGTAATTCTCCAATCAGTAGCCCGGACGGCAGTCAGGGGATGGCCCTGCAGCCCAGTGCAAGCCTCTGTGTGACTGCGGCCCTGAGGTGTTCCACAGATAGTGGGAGGTGAGGGCCCTGCTGGGAAGAGGCTCCTCCTTCCAAGGCCCTGCCAACCGGGTATGTGGGGCATCACTGTGTCCTCATTGTGGCTCTAGGAGCCGGGGGGCTGCGGCCTCACCACCAGCCCCTCCCTGGTGACAGCCCAGTTGTAGGTCTTAGGGGAGTCCAACGCCTCCTCCACACGCGCCTCCAGGTTCTCACGGGTGATGAAGTTTTTCGCCTCTTCCTGTGGAGAGAGAAGAGGCAAGAGAACTGGGGTTCGGGGCATCGCCGCTGGTCCACTGCGCCCGCTGGTGGTGGCTCCGCCCTCAGGTCACCAAATCCCTCCTGAAGCTCTCTCAAACTTATCTCCGCCTCCCTCCCTGCCTTTTACTGTACTTCAAGCTTCCAAATGCAGTTGCCAGGTAACCCCTAACGGGTCTCGCTGCATTCAAATCTGGCTCTTGCCAATTGTGGTCTGGCATTCCCAACCCTCTAATGATCCCGGGCCTGCTGGTGGACTCTCTCCTCCTGGAGCTCCCACAGCTGACACGGCTCGCTGTGTGCTGGCATGGCTTTGTGTCCCTTGTGCCCCGGGATCTCTGCAATCTCCTTGGGCCCCTCTCCCAACTCCCCTCCTGCTCTAAACCCATCTGTCCCGGCCTCCTGCCGCACCTGCAGCTGCAGCACTTCTTGCTCCTTGAGCTGCGCCCAGAGCCGCGCCTCCTGGGCCTGGCGGGCCTGCTCCTCCGCCTGGCGCTGCTCCTGCTCCAGCGCCTCCTGCCGCAGCCTCGTTAGCCTGTGCACGGTGACAGGTCAGGGTAGAGCCTGGCCGGGGGACTCTCCCAGGTCAGCCGGGCGTCCCCACCGCGCCCGGCCCGCCCGGCGTCCCCACGCACCGCAGCTCGTGCAGCCGCCGGTTCTCCGCCTCATTCCAGGCCATCAGCTCCTGGTGCTCGGCCGCGTCTTCCCGCGCCTTGCGCTCCGCCAGGACCCCCGCGCGGGCCTCGTGAATCTTCTTCCGCACCTCGGTCACGAACTCCAGCCTGGCCGGGCACACGCTTCCAGTCGGTACCCGGTCTGCCCGCGCCGGCTCACCCCGCCACCTCCCCTTCACCGCACGCACCTGATGGCCCGCACCGTCTGGCGGTACTGCCGGTAACGCTCGGTCAGCACGAACATCTCCGCGGGGTCCACCGCCGGCGGGATGTTCACGCGCCCGATCTTGGACTTGGCCGGCGGATCGTGGCGGGTCTTGCGGCCGCGCGCGGGCACCAGCAGCAGCGGCGGGGCCGGACACCGGCCCGGGGCCCGCGCGCCCAGCAGGCCCAGGCCGCTCAGCGAGCGCAGCATGATCCCGGCGCCCTCGGTCCGCTCCTCCGCCGGGGCCCGCGGGCGCGCGCGGGGCACCTTGGGACCGGTAGTCCTCGGGCTCCCGCCCCTTCCCTAGGCCCGCCCACTCGGGGGCGGAGCGCACGGTGACCCCGCCCACCACAGGCCAGCCCCGGGTCCGGCTGACCCGCCCCGCTGGCCCTCCCGCTCCCAAGGCCGGGATGGGTCTCAGCGCGGGTGGGAGAGGGTGGTTTGCAGCCGCCTCCCGCTGGAGTGGGAGACCCAGCGGGGACCTCCAGTGACCTGTGTCCTCTAACAGTCCTGAGTTCACACCTGAACAGGAGTGACTTAGAGACTTGGCAAAATTCGACTGGGAAATAGAACAGCAGGTGGCACCCTGCCCTGCGTGCCGTGGGGAGGAGCTTGCACAGCTGGGGTACTGGGGCGGATCCCGGGTCGGGCGCCGGGATCTGGTAGTGTGCAGGGGGCTACCTTCCTCAGAATGGACCCCAGGCTGCAGCCTGCGCTGGCTCCTCCTACCCCAGGCACTCCTTCTTCCTCCCACGCAGGCTGGTGAGCATTGGAAGCTGCCACAAGCTCCCTTCCTATCCTCCAGGGGCCATCCTGGTGCCCCGGTGCCCCCTAGGGCTCGGTCCTCTAAGCCCTGAGGGATGCCAGGCCAGCCAGGGGAGGGAACAGCTTTCTGGGGCCGGGGAAATGGAGGCTGACAGCCCTGCCAGCTCCGAGGGCTTCTGGCCACGTCCTGCAGGAGCAGGTGCAGACTGCAGGCCAATGTGCCCTGGATGACGGCCAGGGCAGTGCTCCAGCAGCCAGCACCAGGCTCCCTGCCCTTTTCTGTGTGACCTGCCGCCTCTGCCATAACTGGGGATAGAGATGTGTAGCACTTATTTTTTTCTTAAATTTTTGTTTGAAAGAGCTAGAGAGATCTGCCAGTTCACTCCCGAAATGGCCCCACTACTGTGCCTACCCCATGTGTAGCATTAAAAAAACCCCAAGCATTTTATTTAATTTGAAAGGCAGATTTTAGAGATAGAGATGGAGAGATATGAAAGTCTTCTCTTTGCCGATTCATTCCCCAGATGGTTGCAACAGCCAATGCTGAGCTGATCTAAGCTGGGACCCAGGAGCTTCTTCCAGGTCTCCCATGTTGATGCAGGGGCCCAAGGTCTTCTGCTGCCTTCCTAGGCCATAAGCTGGGAGCTGGGTCAGAAGTGGAGCAGCAGGGATACCAACCAGCATCCACAGGAGATGCTGGTGCTATAGGTGGAGGATTAGTCTGTTTTGCCTCCATACCAACCCCATGTGTAGCACTTCTACCCCTTGATCCTCCCGTGCTAGGGATGGCAAGCATGAGGGCAGATGGGAGAGTAGCTGGGGAGAGAAGAGGAAAGCAATTTTCTGGGTGTGGCTTGTGGTGGAGGGCTAGGAAAGGGGAGGGGGCTGTGGCCTAGGTGGCTCCTCCAGGTGGTTGCCAAACTCAGGTCACAGAGCCCAGGGCTTCATCAACCAGGGAGCTCCGCCCATCCTGGAAAGAGCAGCTCAGCCCCTGCCCACTTGCACAGCACTCCCTGCTCTGCCAGCTTGCCTGGTGGTCTGGGGGAGGATGCTCGTTTACAAAGCGGCACAGATCACTGTAGCATCAGGGCCGACTCCCTCCAGAGTGCCACTCCCCCCTCCACGCTGGCCCTGAGGGCTCTGGCTGAGGGGACAGTACAGTTGCTCTGGGGCTAGCAGTAGGGGATGGAACAATCTTGACCATCAAAGTTCCCTTTTAGCCCCATGGTCTGCACAGGACCACTGTGGACTTAAGACGTAGCTAACTCTGGGCCTTCCAGCATTGCCAGCAGCTGTTGGGGCGTCCAGGGACAGAGGCCTATTGACAGGGTGAACAGGCCAACCCTGTGTGTGGGCTTAAGAGCAAACGTGGGGGCCAGGAAGAGGCTCTGCATCACACTGACCAGTCTCAACTGGGCAGGCAGGTGTGTCAGGGTCTGCGACAGACATGGGGGATGGAGGTGTCAGCTGGGGTGGGACCCCAGGGCTTTAGCCACATGGAATCCCTGTGAATGTCCAAACTTATTAGCAGGGACCTGAAACCACTACATTTGGCGAAATTGTGGGAAATATGTTGATTTTGTTAACCAGTGATTTTTGGGAAAGCATGCGCTTTTGTGGCCTGGTGAGGGTAACCTTTCTTGAGTTTAATGAATCAGCTTCATTCTGGTTGGGTAGACGAAATGCTTCATCCAATATCCTGGCATTTCTAAAAGACTAGGGTGTCTTTAATTTTTACTGTAATTTTATTACGGCTTTTCCTCAAAAACCCAAGGTTGACCCAGCTTCCCAGGGAATGCTCCAGGCCCTCCGGCAACATGCTCAGCAACTTAGAGAGTGTCAGAAGGCCCTCCCGGCCAGCCCCTTAACCCTCCCTTCCCTTTGTTCAGCCCTGTGCTGCTGCTCCTTGTGGAAGATTCAAACCTTCCAGCTGGCGCTGGGAAAACAGACAAGAGAGCGGAAACAAGAGACCCTGGGCAGGTGGCCTGGTGGGTTGGCCTGATAGCCATGAGGGACCCCAAGTGAAGGAGTAAAATGGAGGTGGGAAGAGAGGGGCTGCCGGAAGGATGCAGGGGCTGGTCATGTGCAGGCAGATGCAGAGGGACAGGAACAGGTGAGAAGCTGGGTGTGAGTCCTGAGAGAAAGTGCATCTGGAGCTGGGGGGCTACACAGAGCCAGAGCCCCGATCTCTCAGGAGCAGCTGAAGGCAAGAAGTCAGAGCATGTCACTGATGCCAGGTGGGGAGCTGGCGGATGAGAGGTAGTGGACATGTGGAGCTGGCACCAAGCAGGTGGGAAGGAAATGAGGGGGATAGAGGGCTAGGACTTTAAATAAACATATGTCTATATTTATTTAATTTACTTGAAGCACGCACGCACATACACACACACCCTTCTATCTGCTGGTTTACTCCCCAAATACCTGTGACAGAAAGCCCTGGGCTGCAGGTCAGCAGGCTTTATCCAGGCCTTCCGCGTGGCTGGCCCATCATTTGCTGTCTCCCAGGATGCGCGAGCAGGGAGCTGGACTGGAAGCAGGACACTGACCCACACTCTGAAAATGAGCTGGCAGCTTCTCAAGCTGTGGCCTAGCCCGCTGTACAAGGATGTCCTGTGCTTTAGACTTGGACCAAGTTTGTCACACAGGAAGAACCTGGGCTCTCCAGGACGTGCACTTTTTGAACGAGAACCTGTGTCACCCAGTGGGGTGTTGACCAAGGAAATGGCAACCTTGGGAGGTGCGGGGGTGGGTGTGAAGGGCGGATGCCTGAGGAGAACGCTAAGAGGTGTCCTGGCTGTGCCTCCTCCTTCAGAGTTAACACTAGCTCTAGGCAGGAGTGGTGGGACAGGCCCTGGATGGAGGGTCACCCCTGCCCTTCCCTGTGAACCCCAGGATGTTTTCATTGGGCCTCTGCTGGTGCCTGTTGCGGTTATGTCTCTTGTGGTGCCAGCATCCCACAGTAGAGTGCCAGGTTGAGTTCTGGCTACTCTGCTTCGGACTGAGCTTTCTGCTAATGCATCTGGGAAAGCAGCAGAGGGTGGTTCAAGGGCTTGGGCCCCGACACTCAAGTGGGAGATCAGAATGAAGACTCGGGCTCCAGGCTTTGATCCAGCCAAGCAGACTTGGCTGTTGTGACCATTTGGGAGTAAATCAGTGTGTGGAAGACCTCCCGCTCCTTGCTTCTCGGCCTTTGAAATAAATACATCTTAACATCAACAAAAAGGTTTGCTCTGGGACCAGGAGGTGAGCAGCCTGCTCACTCTCCTCCATCTCTCTTTAGCACAGGAGGAAGCTGTGGCCCCACTTGTACATTCTCTAAGTGGTCTGCCTGCCTAATCCCATCCTCCTGCACCTGCCTGGACTTGGTCACCCAGAGGCAGAAGAGGCAGGGTTACTCCCCCAAACACAGGGTCCCTCATCAGAAACTTGAGTGTTTCTGCTTAGTTCATTTATCCTTTTCAACTACCGGCCACTGAACCTACTGTCTCATGGAGTTCTTTAGTTCCCACAGAAGGATCAGAGGCCTCACTCGACTTCATCTCCTCTCTGGCAAGCTCCCTGAGGGAGGCTCCTGCCCTTCACTGGCCTCCTGCTGGTCTCCACTCAGTATACCCTCTTACTCCCATACACTCTGGAGGTCTGTTCATCTCCATCCCCAGCAGCCCTGGGGCCCAGTTCCAGTCCCATTTCCTCCAAGAAGTCCAACAGTGCTAACCTTTGAGTATGTCTCCCTGGACCAGGCTGGGGTGTTGCTTCTCACCCCCAGAGCCCTAAGGACCCCGAGCCTGCTGGCTCTGTGAGAAGGCCTTGGGGCCATGGGTTTCTGGGCTCTCCTCTGCCAGCTGCAGGGTGGGGCTGGGGTCGCCCTCCTGCTCCCTGATAAGCACCTCACGAGGCTGGGGGCAGTGGGCAGTGGGCAGTGGGCAGGCCCTCCCAGTAAGGCCCTACATTTCTTGACACTCTCTTAAACCTGTGAACATTGGGGGATGAAAAGTACAACTTCTGCTTGTTCTCAACAAGGAAGCTGCTTGTTCTCCTTGCTTCTCCCAGACAGAGTAGGGCCATGGCAGGGACCCACTTGCTGTGTGAGCAGGACATCCTCGCCATGGACTGCTACCAGAGAAACATTCACCCTACTCCAAGATGGGAGCCAAGGTTCCTGCTGTCCTGGCTCTGAGACAGGTCCAAGTCCTGGCTCTGGGGACACACAGGAAGTGTAGCCTGGATAGAGTGACACACCGAAGTGGCCTTGTAGCCAAGCACCAGGGAACAGGGAGGTTGGACTGGCCAAGCCAGCCATCCCAGCCTGGGCCCTGCACCTAAGAAAGCGCAGGAAGGAACCTCACACCCCTCCCAGGCAGCTGGGACCCAACACTTTGAAGCTGGGCTTTGAAAGAAAGAGCCCTGCCTTTTTAAGCTCTGAGCTGGAGGACTGGGCTGGACAGGCAGGGTCTCGCTTGGTGTCCCACTGCCCCATGACACAGGAGAGCCATGTGCTCAGGGGCAATGCTTTATTACCTGATAACCCGAGTGTGGTGCCGGACATCCCGCTCGCTCCGGTCCGGGGGCATGAGGGTCGCGTGGGGGTCGGGCAGGGGTATTTACAGTGCAGGGAGGGCAGGGTGAGGTTGGGGGGCTTGGGACAACCACTCTCCTCAAGAGCTCTGAAAACTTTGTGCTTTTTTCTTAGTTGGCGCTGAGCCGCCTAGGATGGATTTTGTTTCTTTTTTTTTCAGGTGAAGATGTATAAACCAGGGGCCATGCTGGCCCTATTTCCAGGCTGAGGATCTCACAGTATCAATCCAAACATCACACTATTTAATTCCCCAATAAAACATTGGAAAAAGGACTATCAGTGCTAACACATTTACATATAAAATCTCCACCTAACAGGTAATAGAAGCCTATGTACCAATTTCTAAAACCGTTATAAGATATATACACAATTTTGGGTATATTAACAAAACAGAATATTACAAAATATTAAAGGCAATTCTCCTGTCCTCAGACCTCATCGCCTGTTACTTGAAGTTGGCATAATCTGAGAATGCGTCGATGTACTCCTGCACCACCTTGTAGCAGAACTCATACTGTTCCTGGGGATGGAAGGTGAGTAAAGCCAGGGTTACAGGTGCAAATGTTGTACCGCGCTTACTAACAGACTTGGAGCAAACAAATGCCTGTGGACTCAGACTGGGACGGCGCTAGTCCCGGGAGAACATGAGGCTGGGAGGTGGTGGCCAGAGCGGGCCCTCACGGCATCATGGCTCATAGGTGGCAATGTTACCTACGGCTCTGAGCCTTGACTCTTCCCCCAAGCCTCTGAAAATTAGCTTTTTCTCCCATCAAATGGTATCGGGGAAGCCTCAGGACAGCTAGGCTGTCAGGAGTCAGGCACACCCGTCCCCTTCTCCCCCCGAGGGCTAACAGGCACTTGTCTCTGGCCTGTCACATCCCACTGGTGAAACGGACTATGCTTTCACTCCCATTTTCCTTGCAAAGCATTCCCAACTGTTGGGGCATCTCGGCAGACCCCCAGGGGCCTGTGAAGTGTCCCCTCCTTCAGCTGGCCCTAACGGAGGATGGGTGTGGGTCAAGGACACAGGGCACATACCAGTGTCTGGACCATGTGTGGCCGCTGCAGCCTTAGGCTCTTGACGGTCTGGAAAACATCCAGAATCCCCTCTGCTTTCACACGCTCCAGGACCGTGCTCAGGGCGCAGAAGGTGCCTGTCCGTCCTGCCCCGGCGCTGCAACAGAGCAGGATACTGAGCATGCGCAGAGGCAGCATGGGGCTGCCGAGGGTCCTGTGGGAATGCAGCACAAGGCGGCAGCACACCTGCAGTCCCTGGGCCTCCCTGGCAGCTGCTGGCTCAGGTTAGAGTTCGAGTCCTCTCTTCCTTTTCTCTGACCAACCCTACCCTCTGCACTGGTCCGTGTTTGTAGATTCTTTCTCATGCTTTCCCTTGTCTTCCCCAGTATGAGGAATGCACACTCCAGCCTTGACATCATCCACCCTGTTCACTTTCATCAGCCATTTCACTTGCCTGCTGCCCCACGGGAGGGGCTGAGACAGCTGGTGGGGAAGAAAAGAGGAACAGGTATTCTAGGTAGGCACTTTGGGGAAGGAAGCCTCTCTAACCCATAGGAGGGTAGAGAAGGCCTAGTGGGCATCTGAGTGGTGCACATCTTGGGCCCCAGACAGGTGAGTATGCAGGGTGCAAGGATCTAGATGTGAGGGGCAGAGGAGGGGAGGAGAGCTGGGGTGAGTTGGAGTCCTGGGGAGAAAGCCAGCCCCATTCTGCACCCACTGGGCCTGGAAGGGAGTCTGTAGGTCCAATAGATTCTGTAAACCATTGTTAGGATGCTAAGTAATGGAGTGATATGGTGAGACGTGGTTAGAAAGGCTCCCTCAGGGTTCTGTGTAGAGCACATTGCCACAGATACCAGGAGAGGCAATGGTAGCTTGGACAGTGATGGTGGAGAGAGGGACTCAAACTCATGGGTTCTGAGAGTCCGGCAGCTAGAGCATGTTCTACTGTGGATCAGATGTGATGAGTGACTGAGAGGCGGCTCACTGCACTGGGGAAGGTTGTGCACAGGTAGGCTTGGGAAGACTGGGCGTCCTGCCTTGGACCCTGCAAGCTGAGGATGTCCACTGCACATAAGGCAGACAAGCTGGTGAGCAGATGGACGAATCTTGATTTTAGGCAAAGGGTGAGCTGGCTGTATATTTCGGGCTTGGTATTAAAGTTTTGCGACCAGATGAGCTCACCTAAATGAGTTGGCAGTTGACAGAAAAGAGGTAAAGGACAGGGCTGTGAGCCATTGATGGGGAGGAATCGGCAGTGGAGACAAGGAACAGGCAATGAGCATAAGGCGCAGGAGAGAAGATATGCTGAGAGCACGGCCCTGAGACATGAGTGATGAGCTGTGTGTGCTGAAGGAGACAGAGAAGGATGACTGGCTTCAGCTACTGAGGCCACAGTGGGCTTTGACAGGAGCAGTGGCAATGTCTGGGATGGGGGAGAGAGAGAGAGAGAGAGAGAGAGAGAGTGAGAGAGAGAGAGAGGTGGTAGGGAAAGAGTAGATGGAATGAGCTTGGGAGAGGAGTGGAGGAGAGGAAACGGAAAGTTAGTACAGGTAATCTTTGGAACAACTTCAAGGAAAACCCAGTAACTACCTTTTTCTAGACTGCATTCCTGAACTGTTTACCCCAAACAAAATTCACCTTTCCTTCAACACAAGCATCTCACCCTCTTTCCTCTGTTGGCCACACCAGCCACTCCCAGTGACCCAGACTGAAGCCTGGGAGACACTCTTGACTTTTCTCTCTCCTGCTATGTTCTTAGTCCTCTCTGTTTTATGTGTTTTCAAAAGAATTGCCTTTTCCTCTTCCCTGTGCTTATGGAGGCCAGGCCCCCATGCTCAGTATCTATAGCGCAGCCTGTCCTGACCATCAGGGTAACTGCCGAGCACTGGGCAATGTGCTGTGCCAGATGGCTTTGTGCAGGCTGGGGGCCGTACCTGCAGTGCACAGTGATGGGGTGGTTTCCCGACTGCTGCTGCTGCTTCTGCACAGCTGCAATGATGCTGATCATGCCCTTCCCGTCGCTGGGAATCCCCACTTCCGGCCAGCCATGGAAGTGGAACTGCCGGATCTGCCGGCTCTTGTTTTCCTGTGGAGGCAAGAGGTCAGGGAGGCCGGGCAGGCAGCCCTGCTGCCCACAAGGAAGTTTCATCCCTGGTGCACCTTACCCTGGTGTTGGTGACCAGCAGGTCTCGGACGGTGTAGCTCTCACATTCCTCCTCCTTCTTCAGCTCCACTGTGATGTCTCCATAGGACACCAGCCCATCAGACGGCCAATACTGGGCACACTTTTCCTGGAGGGACAAATGGGAATACACACTAGATGTGATGGGAATTGGTGGGAGAGGGAAGAGCAGGAAGATTCTGAGAGGCCTGGGGCATAGTGGCAGGCAGCAGGGAGCAGGCTTTGTCAGCTGACAGCAGGCTCAGCCCATGGGCAGAGGATTCATGGATGTGCGGTCACACTCCTCCTCACTGCCCCTAGGCTTGTGGGTTTTTCTTCAGGTGTGGAATAGCCTACTAAGGGACAGCACAGAGAGGAGTGGTTTGCTGGGTCACATCTTGTAGGACCATGGCCTGAGAAGATTTGTGTGCTCACTGTCCCAGCCTCTGCTGGCTTCTGGACCTGGAAGGTGAGGGTGAGGGGAGGGAGCTGTACCTCGGGCACTGTTCCACCCTGTGCACCACAGCAGAGAGGGCACCCCCCTGCCATTCACAGAGGGGCTCACTTCCCAGGTGGCCTTGTTACTCAGGTGTGCACTTCTAGAGGGCAAAGCCACGGGGGGGAGGGACGGACTTATGACCAAAATAGGAAATAAAAAGGCTTGGTAGAATGAAATATCAGGGTGAGCAAGTAAACTTTGCAAGTACAAAATGGGGAGGAACTAAGTATAAAACTCTCCGTGTCTAATCTACTGGGGCAGGAGTGGCTGCCATCTTCATTCTCCAGCTGGTTCCCCACCTCCCTGCTCACGGCCTGCTGAGCCCAGGCCACCAGCACTGCTGCCGAAGCAACCTCTGCTTTGGGCTTGCAGTAACTGCTCACGTGCCCTCACTTTTACTGGAGGATTTTTAAAAACAACTCTCTTTAACTGAATGGCTCAGAGACAGACAAGGGTCTCTGATTTCTAGGTTCATCCCTCAGATGTCCACAACAACTAGGGCTAGGCCAAGATGGAACCAGGAACTCCACCTGGGTCTCCCAAGTGGCTGGCAGGGACCCCGCCTCCCAGGCTGTGCATGGTTAGCAGGGAGCTGGAGCTAGGCTCTTGGATATGATGCAGGAACCCCAAGCAGTAGCTCAGGTGCTGTGCCACATGGCTGTCCCTGGAGACGCTTTTGGCTGCCATGACTGAGGCGGGGGCCCGCTATTGGCACCTGGCCTTGGGAGGACAGAGCTGTGGCTCAATACCCTACAGGACGGCCAGGACATGCCATCCCAACCTGAAGTTATGGGGGCTGAGGCTGGGAAAAAGCCCATCGCTTGGGTCTTCTGGGACATCTTCTTTCCTAAGTGTGCATTCTCAGGGGCCCTGGGACACTGCTGTCATAGCTTTCACGATTCTGGAGGATTTTTAACTTATTTATTTAAAAGGAAAAAGAGAGGAAGAGAAAGAGAAATTATTAGAGATCTTTCTTCCAAAATTCCTTCTCAACTGCCTGCAACATCAGAGGCAGGCCAGGCCGAAGCCAGTGACTCAATCCAGGTCTCCCATGTTGGTGGCAGAAACCATCTGCTGCCTTCTAGGAGCACCAGCAAGCAGCTGGATAGAAAGCATGCAGTGGCCAGGACTTGAACCAGGCACTCTGATGTAAGATGTGGGCATCCAAGTGGCGGATTAACTGCTGTGCCTTGTTACCAGTCTCCCACCAGGGGTCGGAATCATGGTGGAGGGGGTTGAGCTGCTACCTATGATGCCAGCATCCCATTTGGGTGCTGGTTTGTGTCCCAGCTGCTGTACTTCTGATCTAGCTTCTTGCTCTAGTGCCTGGGAAAGCAGTGGAAGATGGCTTTAGTAATTGGGCCCCTGAACCTAGGTGGGAGAACCAGACGACACTCCTGGCTCCTGGCTTTAACCTCGTCCAGTGATGCCTGTGGCCATTGGGGGCATGAATCAAAAGATGTAAGATTCCTCTCTCTAACTACATTTCAAACAAAATAAATGAATAATTTATTTTTCTAAATTAAGATTTTTTTTTTAAATTGGAAAGGTGAATTTACAGAGAGAAGGAGATACAGCGAGAAAGACCTTCCATCTGCTGGCCCACTCCCAAAATGGCTGCAATGGAGCTGAGCTGATAGAAGCTAGGAACCAGGAGCCTCTTCTGGGTCTCCCACGTGGGTGCAGGGTCCCAAGGCTTTGGGTCATCTTCTGCTGCTTTCCCAGGTTACAAGCAGGGAGCTGGAAGGGAAGTGGAGCAGCCACTATACGAACTGGCGCCCATATGGGTTCCTGGCACATGGTGAGATTTAGCCATTGAGCCAAACAAAAAACAGACCCAGCACAATAGCCTAGTAGCTAAGTCTTCGCCTTTCATGCACCAGGATCTCACATAAGCATTGGTTTGTATCCTGGCTGCTCCACTTTCCATCTATCTCCCTGCTTGTGGCCTGAGAAAGCAGTAGATGCCTCAAAGCCTTGGGACCCTGCACCCATGTGGCAGACCTGGAAGAAGCTCCTGGCTTTGGTTTGGCTCAGCTTTGGCCATTGTGGCCAGTTGAGGAGTGAATCAGTGGACAGAAGATATTTCTGTTTCTCCTTCTCTTGGTATATCTGTCTTTCCAATAAAAATAAAAAGTAAAAACAAACTGAGGGTAGTTATTTGGTTCATTAGTTAAGATACCCTGCTTTTTATATCAAGTCCATAGATTTGATTCCTGCTGTGTTCCCAATTCTAGCTTCTTGTTCATGCACAGCCTGGCAAATAGCAGGTGTGGTTCAAGCACTTGGATCCCTGTCGCCTACATGGGAGGCAAGGATGGAGTTTCAGGTTCCTGGCTTTAGCCTGGTTCAGCCCTGGCTGTTGTAGGCATTTGGGGGAGTAAATCAACAGACAGAAGATATCTCTTTCAAATAAATGGAAAGAAATAAACAAAAACTTAAAAAATACAAATTGGGATTTGTGAAAGACTCTTTAACTGGTTTTGTAAAGTTTCAGTTCACACTATGGCTTATAGCTTTCGGAGGTTGGTGCTGTGGTGTAGTGGGTTAACTGTTGCCTGCAGTACTGGCATTCCATATAGGTGCCAGTTTGAGTCTTGGCTCCTCTACTTCCAATCCAGCTCCTTGCTGATGTACCTGGGAAGGCAGCAGAAAATAGCCCAAGTGCTTGGGCTCCTGCATCCTCATGGCAGACCCTGCTTTTCCAGTTCTGTAGAAGCTAATGATTGTCCCAACAACAATACCTGGGCAATCTTGTCTGGAAACAGTGCTTTGGACACTGACAGTATATGATAATGAAAATGTTCGAACATTTTCTGGCCTCCACAACCAACTTTGCATGCTATTTCTATCTTTCATTTTTTGGGACCTTTCCCAACTCACCTGGCCTCTTTCCTCCAGTTCTGTCAGCATCACGATAGAGCAGGATTTCCACTCCCAGATCATTCGCCAGAAGTCTTCAATGGTGTGGAGAAGAGGGCCCTGGCTAGCAATGTAGGAGTCCTTCTGCCGGTAGCCCTGCACAGGCCAGGTCAATTCAAGAGGGAGGGAGGTTAGTGAGGGAGAGCTTAGTGGAAAAAACAGATTTGTCTTGGAGTCAGTGGGAGAGGGTGCTAGGAGGGTCTGGGGACTGCTTGAAGCTGAAACCCAACCAAGGTGGAACTTTCCTTTGGCCAGGGTCAGACACTCTGTTACAAGCTGGTCCCCGTGGGCGTGAGGCAAGGCGAGGGGAAGGTAGAGAGCTAGACTGCAGAGAGCAGGAGTACGGAGGAGCAGTTTGTCAGCCTCTTGGCTGTGGACTGCACTAGGAACCTCTTCTTCTAGGTGTTACACTGGCACACGCCCCGCTTCCCTCCACCTCCTGCTCTTTGGGCGTGGACAGAAAGCAGTACAAGGACTGGCAGGTAGGTAACAGTTCCATGCTAGACTCAAAGATGATCCTTCCAAGCAGGTGTATGAGGAAGGCATGGCGAGCCTAGCCGCACCTCCACGGGGTGCTGGGAGCTCAGGGAATCACTGGCAACTTACATCGATGAAGGACGCGTTCACATAGTCTGTGTTCTCTTCGCCCCGCTTCACTGGAATGATCACTCGATTGAACTCATCTGTAGGAAGGACAGTGGCTTGTGGCTCACCATCATGGCTATCCTCTTCCTCTCTTCCCACTGCTCCCATCCCAGACCCCAGGCAGATAAATGCCCAGCTGGGCAAGGATATGACTGTTTCATATTCACGGGTATGTCAGGAGGGAGCAAGCCTTAGGCTTTTGTGCTCCTTTATTTCAAGAATCCAGTAAAGAACTGCTTTAAAAGGGAGTGCAACTTGCCTGCAAGGCATGCATGAATCAGTGTCTGAGGAGTAGAAGGGAAGGAAGGAATTGGGGGTAGGACAGTAGGCTTGGGGTGGAGAGAGGGTTCTTACATGGAATGATCTGTAACACTCGGTTCTTCTTCATGTTGGCTGGGAGGTTTCCGGTTCGCATCTTATCATTCTGGATTTTGATTGATGTTAACTTCTGAATTGGCAAAGAGATGGAAGAAATTATGAATCTCAGTAACTAAATGTGGCTAGTGTTGGCATGCACTGGGCCTGTGCCTCCAGGTCTTCCAGCTGCTTGCGGCTCCTTTCCTCAGGACCCTGACTTCACTTCTTTGTATTCCTGTCAGGACATGGTTTCTTTTGTCTTGGAATCATGACCTTCCAGGCTTTTGTGGACCCTTCTAGATTGCCCTAGCCTGGAACTGTATGATTCTGGAGCAGTAACCTCTGCTCTGAAGGTGGAGTGTACCCACCCACCTGCCTTGCTGCTCTATCCCTACAGGCCACCTCAGACTCTGCAGAAAAAAATCATTGAAAAGGGCATCTTCCAATCCCGACTGAGGCTCCTTATCAACCCAGCTACCCTCAAGTGCAGCCAATACATAGGCAGCACTGGCCTCATTGTGTCAGAACCTGTGCACGTGACAGCTGGGACACTGCCCTAAGTGGTCCTCCCCCAGGAACCCAACTTAAGCTCTGGATTCTGGGAGAGACTGTGACACACACACTAGGTGGGCTGATGGCCACCACCCAAGGGCATGCTGCAACATCAGCACTCTCAGGTCTGCAGGCGAGCTCTGGCCGGTGCCTGAAAGACAAGTTGTTCTCAACCCTCCTTGCTCATTTACCTGTGCACCGTCTGACTGCCTTTGTATTCTAACAGCAGTGTGAGTACTTGGGACAGAGACCACGTGGTCTGCAAACCCTCAACAAGCATTTTATTGTTCCAATTTTAGTGTATGTGCTGCTGAAGCGAGCACTGAAGTATTTTATTATCTGCCCCTACAGACAAATTAGGCTTCTGTTGCATGGTGCAATGGCCTAGGAGGGCTGAAGGGCTAGAAAACCACCGCCACCACAACAAAACTATTGCATACTCCTCAAGTCCCAACAAAACCCAAGTAAGTCCAATGCTCAGGCAAGTCGAGAAGGCCGCAATGTGTGTGAGGAGCCATCTCTTCAGATGCCAGTAGAGGACCCGTTTGCTGCCCCGGAGCCAAGCTTTGGGGGAGCCCCAGATCCTAAGCATCCTTCACCTGAAGGCCGGTGTCCACTTCAACTTACCTTAAACTCCTCCTCTAGCCCATTGTTGCTGGTCCCTGGGATTTTGTTGTAAATCTTCTGCAGGTGGGTGTCTAGTGAGGTCACTTCCAGTTCTGTATCTCCATACAGATAATGCTCCAGAAGGGCTTGGTATATGAAGACATACTGCATCTGATATACGAGAGAGGCCCGAGTTCTCAGTGCCATGCCAGCCCACTGTTCCCCGGGCCACTCTGGCTCACTTCTCTTGGTTCTAATAGGGATAACGTGATTCCCTCTAACTGCCCAGCTCAGCGCAGCAGGACTGATGATGCACAGGAGGGAGGGTCCTAGGCTGCTCTGGGATGTTTGGAGAAGACCAATCTAGCCTTCTGAAACTGAAGCCTCCCCAGCCTGCAGGAGTCATGACCTGGCATCCCTTGCAGGGCTGGGTCCCAGGCTTAGAGCCAGTTTCTGGGGCTCATGGACATGGCTGAGCTGCCTGGCACCCATTTTCTTAATGCCATTTTAAGGGCTCTTCATTACCCAGTAGTATGTTTGTTTCAAATAACCTGAGGGGCTGAGACTCCTTGAGGTGGGCCAGTGTTTGGTCTTGGAAAGCCTCCGCCCTTATCTCATCCCCAGACCACTCACATCTGTTTGCACCATCTGGCAGCGCTGGGCCCGGATCCGGCTCACAAAGCCATACACGTCCACCTTCCGCTCTGTGTGCATCATGTCCAGCATGGCATCAATGACGACGAAGGTCCCTGTGCGCCCTACACCCGCGCTGTGGTAGAGAGCAGTGGTATTACTAGGGTGCCTAGCATGCCTTGTGGAAGCACACAGGGAGGGCAGCACAGGCTGGGGCCTGGTCTCCAGGATTCTACATGCTAATTCTGAATGGGGCAGAGCTGGGATTCTCCTGGAACCAACATCCCCTCCATGTCCTGAGTGCCTGTCCCTCAGCTCTCAGCATGTGCCCCACCTCCTGGGTTCCTGACTCTCAGGCTTAGAGGATGGCCCAGCTCTCTTTCCTTAAGACAGATCCTTCCCTGACACTGGAACTGGAGTATCTCTAGCCTTGTGGCCCTCACAGCTTGTCTGCTCTGTGCCAGCCTTCGCAGCCAGGGCCCCGCGGTTGTTCCCTTGCTCTGGTCACATGGGGCAGAATGTGGGGAGCCAAGGGTCAGGCTACACTGACCTGCAGTGGACCACGATGGCCCCTGCATACTGAGGGTTACAGGCCTTCACCTTCTTGAGGAACTTGAGCATGCCGATTGGGGTGAAAGGCACCCCAAAGTCTGGCCAGCTGGTGAAGTGGAACTGAGTGATGAGGCGCTGGGGTTTCCTGTTGGTCACATCGCCAACCTGTGAAGTGAGGAGATTCTGTGGTTGGCCCTGATGCCCAGGGATGGCAGCAGGGGAGGAAGGCTGAGAGCTGTGGCCATTGGTGACAAGGGGAGGTGCTGAGGGACTTTGCAAGTGTGGACAGAGAATACACAGAGCCGGCCTACAGATATGGACAATGAAGTACAGAGGTCTCAGACATAAATGGCAGGGTTGGAGGTGACCTGTAGGGCTCTTTGCCTGTGGCAGGTCCTCCCTTTCACAGCATCCCACCCCTTGGCTGAAGGCGACCTTTGCTGAGGTACTGAGCCTCCAGGTTCCTGAGGCGGCCCGGGGCAGGTACCACATCTCTGATGCCAGGTGGATTTGGAGTAGAAAAGGAGGCCTTGCCACCTCCTGATACTCCCTCTGTGGCCCTCGGTCACACTACAGACTTTAAGCCTCACTTCAACAGGCACTTCTCCAAGTCCTGACCACACATTGCTCCCTTAGCTCTGACAAGAAAAGCTTCCTCAGCCCAGCTTCTGATTTCAGAAGGTGAACAAACTACACACCCAGCAAGTCCTGACAGCTCTGAGACAGAGGGGCACGATCCAGGCTGTTCCTTCCAGTTCAGCGGTCAGCACATTAAATGGGACAGACAGGAGGTAGGAGACAGTACCTGCTGGATACAGAACTTCCGTACTGTGTAGTCCACTAGAACAGTCACATCCTCTACGGACACACGGATATTCCCATAGGTCCAGCAGCCTTGGTCTGGCCAGTACTGGGCACACTTACACTGGAAAGAAACAGACATTCATCCCGATGACCTCACACTGCCCTGGCCTACAAAGGGTCTGCAGGGAAGGGACCACAAAGTCCAGACTAAAGACTCAGGCAGCCTATGGTCTCTTCTCTCAATCTGGAGTTAGTTAACCTGTTTGTGTTTTTCCTGAATTCCTCAGCACACTTTCACTATAACATAGTCCCAGCTCCACACCTCTCAATCTCTTCCTCCCCTATCTCTTCAGTTAGGGCAAATCTGAAGCTACTTATCTGCTGAAGTCTGTACTCCCACAGTGTCCCAAGTGATGCTACAGGGGTAAGGTGTCTGCACACCAGAAACCAGCATCCATGAAGAAATGGAATGAGGACTGGAATGAGGTAAACCGGCCAGGAGAGGCTGATGGCCTGCACTGTCACCTGTACCCCAAATAGCTTCCAAGAGCCAGAAGTCTGACTGGAGGAAGCTAATGCCCAACTGTGGCACTATACCATCTAGGCACTGTGGGATGCTGACCAGCAACAAAGTTCTGGGGGGATTCTAAAATAAAAATGAAATATTAAGTACAAAAATATCACATATCTGAATGTGCTGGGTTAGATGCTGTCAATTCACAGTTTAGGGGAAATGCCCCAGGATGATGATCAAGGTGACTCAGGCCCATCCTTGAGAAAGACCAGCCCTAACAAATCCTCAGGGGTTTCCTCAGGCCCCAGGACTGTGCTGGCTGAGAACCAGTGATGAGCTGGCCAGGGTAGGCATGGCCTTGGCAAACTACCAGATGAGAAGCAATAGTCACAAAGCTGCCTTTGGGGTCATTGTGAAGCCCAGATTCCCTTGCACCCTATGGCGTTCTCTGTTCACGGACTATAGGATACATCCCAAAGGCTTCAGGAGGTGGGACAGGAAGCCATGGACTGAAGGACTAGTGAAGCCAGGGGAGAGAAACCCTTCAGTGGCTCTGCTTTAACTAGTAGCCCAAGTCTGCCTTTAGGTTGTTTTGGACTAGCATGAACTGTCTGGTGATCAGACACAAGGAATGACAGAGTCCCACACAAATCCCCAATGTTTTCCTGAGGCTTCTGGCCTGAGGAAGACCCAGCGGACACACCGGCCTGTGCCTGTCAGGATGACCTACCAGCACGGCAGTTACAAAAAGTATCCACACGGCACCCCCTCTTTTCCTATGGAATTTCTTCACCCACCTCTTTCCTCTCCTTCAGGTTGGTCACCATGACAATGGTAGCTGTGTTTTGTTCCCAGATCATCCTCCAGAAATCATTCACCGTTTCTTCTTTTGGTCCTAAAGTAACCAAAAGCAAAGACAAAAACCATGATCAAAGTGAAGGACGCTAAGGAAGTGGGAACATGCACCCTGCATTTCTGTAAGCACAGAAATCCACCTATTCATTCATTCATGAATGGTGCCTACTGCCTGTTCTCCATGTATCCACCATCCATGTGCCAGGCTGGGGTCAGGAGGCTGTCAAAGTATAAACAGAGCAAAGTGTTTCCCAAGGACATTATTGCTGGGACCAGGAATCATGCCCGTTCACTGAACAGCTATGTTATGGGCCACATGACAAGCAAAGTGTTTCTCTTTCTCTATTTTTATTGGAAACACAGATTTACAGAGAGAAGAGACAGACAGAAATATCTTCCATCCACTTGTTCACTCCTCAAATGGCTACAATGGCTGGAGCTGAACCAATCTAAAGCCAGGAGCCAGAAGCCAAAGATTTGGGCCATCCTTTGCTACTTCTGCATACCATAAGTAGAGAGTTGGTTCAGAAGTAGAGTAGCCAGGCCTGGCGTGATAGCTCAATAGTTAAATCCTTACCTTGAAAGTTCTGGGATCCCATCTGGGTGCTGGTCTGGATGCTTCACTTCCCTTCCAGCTCCCTGCTTGTGGCCTGGGAAAGCAGTCGAGGATGCTACAAAGCCTTAGAACTCTGTACTCACGTGCAAGATCTAAAAGAAGCTCCTGGCTCCTGGCTTAGCTTAGTTCTGGCCGTAGCGGCCCTTTGGGGAGTGAACCAACAGATACAAGATATATTTCTCTGTTAATCGTATCTGCCTTTCCAATAAAAATAAATAAAATCCAAACAGAGTCAGGTCCGAGGAGGAGACTGACAAGGCACAGGTAGGCAGTCAGGAGAACTGAAAGTGCTGGGGCCATAAAAGACAGAGGTAGAGTTCCAAGCAAGGAGTCATCAACCAATGTGGGGAGGAAGTAAGCTATTTTTAACAGGTAGAATGAGGAATGAAAGTCAGAAAAATAAAATCTAGAAAATAAGAAAATCAAGAGAACTGAATGTCAGGAAAAAATTGGAGCAGAGCTTCAGGCCATGAGGTGGCGTGGGCAGGTTCAAGAGAATGGGACAGAGTGACAAGGCCTCTCAGGAAGTCACAGGTGACCTTCATGCAACACACAGTTTAGTGCTATCAACAAAGCAAACAGAAAGATGCCACTCGTGACTGATGGTGCCACGGCCATCACTGAGTAGGTGGTGTCGCAGTTTGGCCTTGAGGGACAGACAACGACACGGTGAGAGAAAAAGATGGGCCTCCTGATATGACAGCCAGGTTCCCATGGGAGACCACCAGGGCAAGAAGGATCTGAGGCTCTCCCAGGTTGTCCTTTTTTAAAAATTAAAATGGTTATTTTTTATTTAAAAAATATTTCATATATAGAGAGAAACAGAGAGAAACCGAAAGAGAACCACGTGGTTGCTCACTCTCCAAATGGCTGCAATGGCCAGAGCTGAGCTGAGCTTATTTGAAGCTGGGATCAAGGGCCTGAGCTACTTTTTGCTGCTTTCCCAGGCCATTAAGTAGTACTCAAACTAGTGTCTGTATCAGATGCTGGCGCTAACAGGTGGAGGATTAGCCTGGTATACCACCATGTGGATCCCCTGCCTGCCCCATTTATCTCTGCATTTATGCAGTAGCTTCTAGCAACAGTGGCTACTGAGACTTAAAGTATGACCAGCACAATAAGCTGAATTTTAAATTTCATTTACATTTATTTTTAATAGCCAAATGTGGTTACTGGTTATGGTAATAAATACAGCCACTTCCCCAAATTGTGGTAATATATTAATTTGGTGTAAACTTTCCCCTACCAATTAGACTCTTAAATGGCAGAGACCGTATCTTGTTCAGACCAGCATCTGCCACATAAGATGCAGTCTAGACTTCCACAGATACTCATTGAATGGTTGTATAAGTCACTTTTGGTGGACAACAACTACTACTTCTGCTTCTTCTTCCTTTTTTTTTTTTTAAGATTTATTTATTTTTATTAAAAAGGCAGATATACAGAGAGAAAGATCTTCCATCTGCTGCTTTACTCCCAACAACGGTCAGAGCTGAAGCAATCCAAAGTCAGGAGCCAGAAGCCTCCTTGGGATCTCTCATGAGGGTTCAGGGTCCCAAGGCTTTGGGCCATCCTGCACTGCTTTCCTGGACCATAAGCTGGGAGCTGGATGGGAAGTGGAGCAGCTAGGACGTAAACTGAAGGGGGAGGATTAGCCAATCGAGCCATCACACCAAGCCCCTTCAATTACTTCTTAAAGCTACACACATTAGCTATTTTTTTCTGGGATTTCAAGACAGCAGTGACTTGTTAGGATGGCAGGCTGTGGAAACACGTACAGAACAAGTCCAGGACCATGACACTGTGCCCATGCTCTGCCCCTGTCCCTAGACTAATCTGCAAGTCACAGTGGAGCTCAGGCCTTAGAGCTGGAGCAGGAGAGCCAGGCTGGCCCCCAGGAGGTGGCAGATCCTCTCTGAAGGCTGATTTCAGTTCTGCTCAGAGGATCTCAATAGGCCATAGTGGGGTAGGTGGGTGGGTGCGTGGGGTGAGTGTGTGTATGCAGCTTTCTTTCAGCCTTTTTGTTTTAATATACAAATACACGTGGACATCTTCTATAGTCATTGTAAGGTGGATTACACTTCTTTCAGGGTCTCATTAGGCCACTGTGTGTGTGCAGCTCTCTTTCAGCCATTTTGAGTACAGAAAAGTTACTGCATTCTGATTAATTTAGTTAACATTTAGAAAGACAACAACAGCAACAACCAACCTAGGCCCACCTTGTGATCATGGTTAAGCCCAAGAATAAGAAGCCATTTTTACCTTGTGCAGCTATGAATTTGTTCTTTTCTTGGTAGCCCTGGGGTGGAGAGAATAAGGCAAAAAAAGAAGAGTTAAAACCAAAAATGGATAGGAATTAAAGTTTCCAGTGTGAATTGCAAATCAGTTAACAAAGTCTCCCTTGTGAACTGGTCCAAGCAATCAACAAGAATTTCCATTCTAGAAATTCCTGGGGGATTAGCTTTGTACTTAAAAATCAAAGATCACAAAGCTCCCATGTTCTAGCTGGCCTTCTCAAAGATGAAGCGTCTTAGGCTAGAACATACTTCTAACACGCATCAGCACCTGATGATGCAGGCTTTGGTGTGAAGGGGTAAGAACCTGCCAAGACAAACATTCATGTGGTGTCCCAGGGAAGCAGCAGGGCCTCCCTGGGAAGCACACTTGGGTTATTTTCTTACTTGTTGAGGTACAAAAACTTTCTAGGAACAGCTGGGAAGGCAGTGCAACAGCTCCCGTGCTTGACAACAAACTTCTCCATTACAGATGCTAGGACCTTCTGAAAAATGGGTACTTTGTAGTTAACCTTCCTTTTCTTTTCAATCTTTTCTGTTCTAGTTGCACTTTTTAAAAAAATATTTATTTATCTGTTTATTTAGATTGAATGAGAGAGAGAGAGAGAGAGAGAGAAATTGCTAGTTCACTCCTGAAATGACCCCAATGACCGGAGCTAGGATGGTTTGAAGCTCGGAGCCAGCAGCTTTTTCCAGGTCTCTCACGTGGGTGGCAGGAGTCCAAACATTTGGGCCATGCTCCACTGCTTCCCCAGGCTGTTAGCAGGGAGCTGGATGGAAGTGGAGCAGCTGTGACTCAAACCAATACCCATATGGGAAACTGACACACAAGTGGAGGTTTAATGCGCTGCTGGTTGTGCATATTTTCAACTTCACTTGTCTAAATGTAGTGTGCACCTGAGAAGTCCTAGGGAAGGGAACAATCATTTGATTTAAGGCCCATAAATCCCCTCTGCCTCTCTCAGGCAGCGTCACTGATGGGATACAGTCACACCACAGCAATGATGAGAAACACAAGTCTGCAAGGCAGCGGCTGTGACAAAGCAAGGGGTCCAACTCCGAGAAACCACTTCCTATTCCAGTCCAATCAAATCAGCAAAGTTTAAAGTCAGCAAGAGGAAAACATGTTAAAACTTCCATTGAAAAAATAATTTTTTAAGTTGCAGCAAATGTTAGTTAAGAGAGAAACAGGGACTTTAACTCAGGATGCCCAATGCTGCTTATGGTAATAAAGCTGTCAAGAAAGCAATGGTTCTCTGAAGAGCACATTAAGCACATGTCGTTTTCCTGCTCTATGAGAAGTCACTACTAAATTATTACAGGATCACGTGGACCCCAAGCAGCATCGAAGTCCCATTGGGAAGTCAGCACCAAAATGCTCCTGCATCCTCTCCATTAGGAGGGGCTGTACACCCCCACAGAAGTGAACTAACTTCAGTCATTCTTCCCCTTTCTTTCTTCCTTGCCATTAGAACCACACTTAAGTTTGGACATTAACCTTCTACTGGCTTAGAAGATAACCACTCCCTGATCTCAGATGGGCACACCATGAGAGTCACTATTCTAACCAGTGACTACAGAGGAGATGTAAGCATGTGATCCAATCCTGGACTGGTATAAAGGCATTTAGCTCCTTCCCAATGAATTAAAAAGCACAGGCACAAATGCTCCTCTTCTGTGCTGGTGCTGTTCTTGCTTATTTTTGCTATTGAGGGCTAGGCCCGCTATTGTTCACTGGTATCTGAATAAGCTCAATAAAGGACTCACTGACTATTACAGAACAATACACAATTAGATTCTGATTTCTGCATGGGAAAGCTTTGGGAATGAAGGCCAGGTAGATAAATGCATTGGAAACACCTTTAAAAAGTCAAATCACTCAGGATAAGCTTGAGAATGATAAACATCCGTCCTAAAGCGCAGCTGAGAAGGTGCCAAGAGACAGCAGCCCCTGATCACAGAGGGAATAAGGGAGGCCTGAGCCCCTTACGTTGATGAATGAAGCGTTGATGTAATCGGAGTCCGGAACCCCTTCCACTGGTGTCAGATGGACTCTAGAGTGGTCATCTAGGAGAAAAAAAAATTATCATCAATAAATTACAATGTTGTTTCACAGCTGAGACATGTGTGCAGTCTAATGAATACTATTTACCAGAAAAAAAAAAAGTCAGGAAACGCATCAAATATCATTAAGGTACTAGTTAAATATCCACAATATGGATGACTAACAGTTGATAAAAAGGATAAATACTCCAAGTGCTCTTTTTTTTTTTTTAAATTTGAAACGCACACTGACAGAAAGAGATCATCTACTATTCCTTAAATGCCTGCAACAGCCAGAGCTGGGCCAGGCTGGAGTCAGGAACTCCATCTGGATCTCCATGTGGGTGGCAGGAATCCAAGCACTTGGGCCATGCTCTGCTGTCTGCCAGCCACACGGGTGGGAAGTTGGACCGGAAGCACAGAGTAGTGAGGCTGGAACTCTGATATGAGATGCAGGCATCCTGAGGGGCTGAACCTCCTGCACCAACACCTGCCCTAGAAAGTGTTTCTTGACAGATGGACTGACAATATATGCCATAAAAGAAATACCACAGTGAGGCGTATAATATTTGAATATCTGTAACATGTATTTGAATATATGTAATATACAGTCATACCCACAGGTGTGTATGCACATAAATATAAGACATAAATATCTGTAAATGTCTGTTACTCCAACAAAATTTCAGGGGGAAGGAGAGTGAACAGTGTAGTGGTATATCAGGTTAAGCTACCACTGACAATGCTGGTCTCCTATATGGGCACCAGTTGGGGTGCTGGCTGTTCCACTTCTGTTCCAGCTCCCTATTAATGCATCTGGGAAAGCAGTAGAAGATGGCCTAAGTCCTTGGGCCCTTGCACATGGGTGACCTGGGTGAAGCTCCTGGCTTCAGTCTGGCTGGTTAATTGGGGAGTGAACCAGAGACTGGAAGATTTTTCTTTCTCTCTGGCTCTCCCTCTTTCCGTAACTCTCTCAAAGCAAATGAATCTTAAAAAAAAAAATTAGCAGGTGTATCTAACATTTGCTCCATTTGTTGATAAATTATACACAACACTACTATATCATGTATTCATAAATAACAGAACGAATTACAAACCAAATAGAGCAAGGTCAGGACAGTAGTTAGGATGTCTGCTATAGCTTGTGCTTGGTTCCTGGCTCTGGCTCCTGACCTCAGCTTCACACCAACACACACCCTGGAAGGCTGCAGTGATGGCTCAAGGAACTCGGTTCCTGCCACTCAGGGGAGACCTGGATATCTTTGCTGGCTGTTCGTTTTGCCCCAGCACAGCCTGGGCCATACTTGTTTCTCTCTGTCATTCATAAATAAATAAACCAAAGTTCAAACATCCTCCTCTCCCCACTGGATTTGCATCCCACTCTTGAGACAACTGTCCTAGAAAAATGCTCATTAGGTTCTAGATCAAATAATCAACAGTGGCTAATACTGAGGAGGGGGTCACGGAGAACTGTGGGTTAGAATTTGTTTCAATGAGCATTATGTAAAACCATTACAATTGCCACCACCACCATTCTAACTCACTTCCTGCTGTCCTGGTGAAGCTGCTCTCTCTGGCCCCTATAAACTTTGGAAGCCTGCCACAAAAATCCTGGGCTTACTTTGGGAATCATAAAGGTTCTCCAAACCCCCAACCCTATCTTGTTACCAACCCTCGTGTGACTGACAGCAAGACCCTTCCCATCCTCAGGAAATCTGGTTAGGTTTCTAGAAACCCTTCAAACACTCACAAGGCAAGATGTTTACGTATCGGTTTTTTTCCTTGTTTTCTTCCTTGGAAGCAGCCTCACAGGTGGCCTGGATAGGACAAGCAGGGAGAGCCTGGAAGGGTAAGAGAAATTCAAGGTGTTATCAACTGGGACAAACACAACCATACAACCTGCTGCAGCCAGTTCTAGCCACAACGAATCCTCAGGAGACAGAATGCCTTTCCTGCCACTATAAACACAGGATGCTCAAGGCCAGTCCATGTTTAGGGACCTGCTGCAATGGTGGGCCGGGGAGGATCACCTCTGAAAACAGGCCATTTGTTGTGGCCCTAACCACTGGGCAGAGAGGACATATCTCAGGCAGCACCTCCTAAGAGGGTGCTGGAGGGCCAAACGCTCTAGGCTCTCACTGAAGCTATACAAGGTCACAGCCCCTAACAGCATCACAAGGCAAGGAAGCAAGGACTGGCAGGTGAGTGAGTGGGAAGGCATCCATAGAGGTGCAGCAGTTAGGAAGTGGCGGCTTGGGTAGGGCCACATTAAATTGGTTATGGTTTTAGAGCAAATGTCAATCAGCTAGCACAGGGAGGTACATGATTTGAAGTGAGAGGGATTTTAGTGAATCTGTTCAACTGTCAAATTCTCATAAATGGGTAAAGAGATTATCTTTGTTGTGGCACAGAATAAGCATTCAACAAGTGAGCTTTATCAGCATGGGGAAGTAAATTTTATTATTTGACCTGTTTTTCTATTCCGTATATTCAAAATCAAGAAAGCAAAAAAGGGGTGCAGTTACAAATTTCAATCTAGGCAAAAAAAAAAATTTTTTTAATATTCTGCTAAATGTTTATATTCTGCACCAGACTTAAGTACAAAGATTAGAAACTGCTATGGACATTAAAAAAAATTATTTATAAGAGAGGCAGAGTGACAGAGCAAGAAGGGGGAGGAGAAATATCTTCCATCTACTGGTAAACCCCCTAAATGCATGCAACAGTCAGGGCTGGGCAGGGCCGAAGCCAGGAGCCAGCAGCTGCATCCTGTAGACATAACTTTATGTTCAGTGATTTGGAAAAATGTTTTACAAGCCTTAAAGATGTTTATATTTTTGGACCTAGTCATTCCACTGCAGAGAATCTATTCTAAGGAAATCATTTACTTTGGGGCCAGTGTTATGGCAGAGCATGCTAAGCTGCTCTCAGTGACATCAGCATCTCACATGGGTGCTGGTTTATGTCTTGGCTGTTCTGTCTTAAAAAAAATTTTATTTATTTGAAAGAGTTAGGGTGAGAGAGAGGAAAAAGGGAGGGAGAGAGAGAGAGAGAAGGATCTTCCATCCACTGGTTCAGTACCCAAACAACTCCATTGGAGCTAGGCTGGTCCAAAGCAAGGAGCCAGAAACTTCTTCCAGGTCTTCCACATGGATGAAGGGGCCCAAAGACCTGAACCTTCTTCTGCTCCTTCCAAGGCACATTAGCAGGGAGCCGGATCAGAAGTGGAGCAGCAGTTGCAGGCCGCAGTTTGACCTGCCAGGCTGTAGTGTCGACCCCAGCTGCCCTACTTCTAATCTAGCTCTCTGCTAACGGCCTGGGAAAAGCAGCTGCAGACAGCCTGTGTTTGGACTCTGTGGGAGACCAAGGTGAAGCTCCTGGCTTTAATATTGGTCCAACACTGGCCTTTGTGGCCATCCGGGGAATTAGCCGGTTGATGAAAGCTTCCTCTGTCTCTTCCTGTTTGTAATGCTGACTTTTCAGAATTAAACAATCAATCTTTAAAAAAGAAATCATTTGCTTTATCATTGTATAGAATGGCCCCAAACGGGGAGCCCCTTAGTACTGAGCAGCAGGAGGGAAACAATTCACAATAACTTCTCATTCATCTTGTCAACAAATACCCACTTGTGTCTATGAGGCCCTCGGCTACAAAAGGGTGACCAAACATAAACAGCTTTGCCCTTGTACACAATACAAACATGTGGGTGAAGGACAGGCATTAGACAAGCAAACACACACAGAACTCCATACCAGGACAAATGCAATGGGAGAACAGACAGACTCTAGGGGACCACAGGCAGAGAAGGTGGGGGGCCTCCCCAAGGGAGGGTGGCAGAGCTGGCAGAACAGCATCTGCAATGTCCCAGAGTTGGCAGGCTGGCACCACAGGGGCAGTAAACACAGCCCCTGGAAGGAAGAGGGGGAAGATGAGTGGGGCAAGAGCAGCTCATATATTTCCACACAGGTCCTTGAGTAAGGCTGGGGTATTAAAGTGCATGGGGAAATCAGCAAAGGTTTCTGATATGGTCCAGTTGACATGTTAGGGAGTAACTGGTTGCTAGGGGGAAAGGGGCAAGAGCAGGTAGGGGAGCCTGGGAAGGTGCTGGTACAGGATGCTCTTGAGCTCCACCCTGCAGCTGGGATGATCTGATTTGGAGAAAAGATGAACAGAAGGTAGATCGAACAGAGGAAAAGAACGAATGATGATTCCAGGCGTTCTGCTTAGATAATTAAGGGAAAAAATTCGTCAGCCCAAAAGGAATCATCTGGCCAGAGCTTTAAGAAATGAAAAGGGGCTGGTGTTGTGGCACAGAGGGTTAAGCCACTATTTTTAAAATTATTATTAAAGACTTATCTGTTTTTCTTGGAAAGGCAGATTTACAGAGAGAAGCAGATAGAGAAAGGTCTTCTGTTTGCTGCTTCACTCCGCAAGTAGCCACAATGGCTGGAACTGGGTCAATCCGGAGCCAGGAACAAACCAAGAGCTTCTTTTGAGTCTCCCAGATGGGTACAGGGTCCTAAGGCTTTGGCCCATATTCGACTATTTTCCCAGGCCACAAGCAGGGAGCTGGATGGGATGTGGAGCATCTGGGACACACACTGGCATCCATATAGAATGCTGGTACATGCAAGGTAGGGATCTAGCCACTAGGCTATTGTGCCATTGTCATTCCACATGGGCACTTGTTGCAGTCTCACCTACTTTCTTTCTGATCCAGTTTCCTGTTCAGAGGTCTGGGAAGACAGCAAGAAGTTGGCCTCCATATCTGGGTCCCTTCTGGTCATCTGATAGACCTGGACATTCAGAATTCCCATCTCCAGGCTTTAGCCTGGCCCAGATCTGGCCAATGTAGCCATCTGGAGAGTGAACCAGTGAATGGAAGATCTCTTCTTTTAAATAAATAAATCTAAAAATAGGAGCAAATATTTTCCTGAGAATAATCAGGACTGTGGTAGGAGAAATTACTGTGAAAGACCGAAGGGCAAGCCCATGTGCTCCTTTTGAGTCTAAACCCTGGAGGTTCTTATGCTATTTCATCAGGAAGAAACCAACATAAGAGGAGAGAAAAGCATTTCCTGGGCTGCACTCCTGCACACAGAACAGATACCATGCCACAGATCAGTACGCATGGACGGCTTGCTGCCTCGGCCCTGGCGTAGGCTAGCTGTTCACAGCTTTCCACCACGCAGGGTCTTCTCAGCATCCTTACTCCCCTGGTCTTTGTGGCAAAACCAAACCAAACGTAGGGCTCCATTGGGGGTGGAGGGAGGGTTAAAGCTCTTGAAAGCAATAGTAAGAAACAAAAGCCCCTGTTCAGCAAGAGGAAAGATAGTGCTTGCCCTGCAGAACACAGTGCTGGCTGTACAAGTTCAGACTGACGATTCTCAAGCAGAAAGGAAAGCAGGAAACTCCTTCTCGTCCTGCTCTGAGAAACCCAGGCCTGTGAGCTAGCACAGAGCCGCTGCCCAAGAAGCTTAGAAGACGTTATATTTTCTACAAACACTAGGTGGCAACAAACACCATCTTTCTCTTAAGTTTTAACTGGAACCAAGGCTAAGTACAGTCTGTTTTTTCAAAATAATTTTTTAAAATTATCACCCTCATCCCACCAAATTTTCTCATACACACACACGTTTTATAAAAGTGAGTCAATATCCAATTTAACTTAGAAGTTGTCTTTGAATTTTGTTTATTACCACCTTGCTTGAACTTAGTTGTACCATCATTTTGTGTCCCTCAACAATATCTCACTATTGCTGAGTCTACTGCCAGGTAAAAGTGGAACACAGACAAGCAGTGACTTGCTGTTTTGGGGGTCAACGTCATGTTTTTAAGCTATTCTGGTTATAGTGCCTGTAGTTCAAGTTTATGTGAACCATTTTGTAGTGCTCCATTTTGACATAAGTATCAACATGTACTGATGCCTGATTTGTGCTGTGACAGCTAACAGTTCTCTTCTGAGCATAAATTTGTGCATGCTTCTTGCACTTATCTGCAAGAATTCCAGGTATGGAACTCTCTAACCTTATCACACACAGACAGATTTGTTTTCAAAGTATTTGTACCAACTTACACTCCTGGCATCTGTTCTGAACCCTTATCAAGCATTTACTATTTAAGCATATTAAATGTGGTTTGAGTTTACATCTATTTGATTATACGTGTTAATGAGTAATAACAGTTATTGGTAGAAACGACTGCCACTTCTGTGAAGTATCTTGTCAAGTGTCTGCCTTGTTCTACTGGATTCTTTTCTCATTAATTTTTAAAAATAATTTTATCATTTTATCTTTCCATTAATTTATAAGAGCTGTTCCTATTCTCTAGATATTTACCTCGTGTCAGTTAACCCAATACAAAGATCTTTCAACAAGTCTGCACCTGTCCTGTCATTTTCTTTACGGTATCTATTTTCAGAAATCAAATTTACTAATATTTCCTTTTTACCAACATTTTAAGTCTTAAGAAATCCTTTCTTGCTGGAACACCTTCCTACATATTACGCTCCCTATGTTTTATCATTTTGTCTTTTAAGTTTTGGTGTTTGTATATCAAATGAAAGTGATTTTTTGGGTTTAGTGTAAGTTTCCAAATTCATCTATTCCCCAGGGTTGCCCACTTGCCCCTCCCTGTTTATTGTAGAGGCCATCCTTATCCACACCAAGAGGGCAACAGTGGTTATTTCTATTCACATGTGGATCTGCTTCTGGGCTATTTTATTCCGTCGGTCAACATGTCTATCCCAGTGCCAATACAAAACTATCTTAAGTACTAAAAATTTTAAAATAACTATTATCTGGTAAGGCAGGTCTCCTCACCTTGTTCTTCTTCTTCAGG